ATGCAGTGCCCACTGCGATCTGGCGCTTGCAGTTGAGGCCTGGCAGTGCCCACTGCGATCTGGAACTTGCTGTTGAGGTCCGGCAGTGCCCACTGCGATCTGGCGCTTGCAGTTGAGGTCCGGCAGTGCCCACTGCGATCTGGCGCTTGCTGTTGAGGTCTGGTAGTGCCAACTCCGATCTGGCGCTTGCAGTAGAGGTCCGGGAGTGCCCACTGCGATCATGCACGTGCAGTTGAAGTATAGCCCATTGCGATCTGGAGCTGGCAGTTGAGGTGCACCCGGTAGTCAAGAAGACGCGGATGAGGAGGAGAAGAGGAGAAGAGGAGAAGAGGAAGAGGAGAGGAAGAGGAGAAGAGCTCTGATAAAATCTAACAACCCTCACCTGGCAGGTGGGAAAAAACACATCGTCTGTATTGCGAGCCGCGTCGCTGCCCCCAGAGCCACAAATCATCCACATGGAGTGCGTGACTTGCTCCTCGATCCGAGTCATACCACAAGGACAGGCACCTCAGCGAAACGCAGAGTCCTGGAGGGCCTGTAGCCACAAAAAGAGAACCCTCCTGTTCTTTTAGCCCACCGCTAGTAACATACTTAAGCTACTAGCATGGACGCAGCATAGCTCACTTCTTCAAGGAAGCTCCCCAAGAAGCGCTGTGGAGAAGCGTTCGCACTATTCATTTGGTTCGTAGATTCTTAGGGAAACTTAACCCAGGTCCCCACAGGTCCCCACAGGTCCCCAGGAGTCCTGGCCGGCACATCTTGCTCTGTTTGTTGCTTTCCTCGCGCATCAAAGACATTATTACCGACCCTAAAGGGTCTTGGAAGAAACTCAAAGACATCCATCTACAGGTACTCAGTCGGGCACAGTTTCTAACAGCAACGAGCCACAAGAGGATCCAGGGACATGGTCCAAAAGTAGCAAGGAGATTCTGACCAAACCTGGGGTGGAAGAAATGCGCCAGCACAACTGGCCGAATCCCTATACTTCGTTACTTCGCGTTTAAGTACCAAACAAGACATGTGTTTGCTGCTTTCCTCGTCCAAACCTCTCCTGTGTGAATCACCATCGCCAAGACACTCCACTGCTTCAAAATCACGTAACGTCTCAGTCTTTCCACGTAGGAGCTCCAAAAGCTGATGAGAGCAGCTGGGAAAGCCCTCCCAAGTCTCCTTGGAGAGCCTACTGACATGTTGCCCTTTCATTGGACATTGCTACAACAGAATTCCGTCGATTCGGAATCATTGCTAGTGTCTTGATGAGATTGGGGAAAAACTAGACTAGACATGCTGGATCGAAAAGGCCTTTAGTAGGAAGAACTCATGGAGAAAAGGACAACGGTCAAAGAAAAGGATTGTACATCCAAATGGGCAAGGGCTGACTGCCCACAGTCTGGCCATCTTCCATCGATGCCCTTTTCGATAAGTTTGTCTCTTCCGTCCTGACTACACTCCGACTCACTAACATTCACTAACATGGAAGTGAAAAACCCCCTGTTTCTAAAGGAAAGTAGCCTTCCAATGGACCATTTTCCACTTCCATGTTAGTGAGTCAGAGTGTATATAACTTGTTCAGACTGCTTGGCTCTTCCTATTTCTGCACTGCTTGGGTCGAAATGCAGCAACTGGACCACCTTGGACCACCATTTCTGCAAGAGTCCCATTACATACATATATTGATTGATGTGGATTTACCATGATTTAGCGGGGGTGGTTGTTTCCATTCATACTCACAAAGGGGGGTGGTTGCAGAGTCAGCTCCTACCGTTCAGCAACCCTTGGGTGAAATGGCCACCCCTTTAATGTCACCAGATCCTGAAGGTCACACTGTCGGCTGATGAGCCCCTACAAGTTCAGGGATTGAGCCAGAACATCGTGTTCACCGAGTTCTGTAGAGAACATGGTGTTCACCGGAAAACTAGGTGTTTCATGGCGGTTGGGTGGAGAGAAAAGGGGAGGTCCAGATGTTTCGACGAGGCTTGATGGCTTCCAAATTAGTCTGGCATCTGCTGGATTTCGCTGCGGAGTGTGATCTGGGCATGGCTGGCACAGCCATTAAGGTCATTAATTAAGCTCTTGGAGATTGCGAGTCTTGCCTCGTGTCCCCAGTCCAAGCCAGTGAGGTCCAAGTCAGCTAAGTCAGCTCAGAGTCCGGAATCTTGACCTGCTGCTTCTTGAAGTTCGCCTTGGGCCCAAAGTCTTGCTTCCATCGTCCACTCTGGGAGGGCTGCCAGGGCCAGGACTGCAAGGACTGCAGAATCTGCCTGGCGGGAAAAACCGCGCCACTTTTCGTCTCCGTTTGCGTCTCCGGGCCAGGTGCCTCCAGGTGTGGATGAGACCAAAGCATTCTGAAAGGTCTTCTCAGCACAATACATCACAACTCACAACACACTGCTCAATAATGGTTGTGTCTCATGCATCCAAAAACTCATGAATGGCACTAGCTGGATAGTATGTGTGTATATATATATACGGCAAATATAATGCCCCCACCAAACCCAACGAAGTTCTGCACATCAGCCAAGCCTTTCCATGTCCTCAGACACAACATCTTCAAAGATCTCCAGCCCTTCAAAAGGCACCGGAAGCTCCTTGCCACGGCGGCTCTCCAGCGGTAAGCATGCGCGAAAGCAGACAGGTGCCATCAACAAGAGGTGAAGAAGGACACTGAGATGGACAGTGTGTGTGTGTGTCAAAATCTTCCACCCTAGTTTAATCCAGGCCTGATTTGCAAGAAGTGGATGTGAGGATATGTAAGGTTGTGAGATGTTGTGAGGCTCTCCCCCACTCGTTTCTGATAAGGATTGGACCTCAAGCTAAGGGGGAAGTAGACATGCGGAGTTCACATCCAATGCACCTTTGTCTTAAAGTCTTAGGCACAGAAAGCAACAACCTATATAACAACCATTACAGTGTATATATAATATATAGAGATCCACATTACGTAGAAGCACTTCTTCGAGCACAACACCCGTTTTGTCAAAGTCCCTCTCGCTTTGAGACAACAAAGTGGGTCCGAGGGTGGCCGTAGAAGTAAGAACTAGAACAACGCATATATGCTTTTGATGCTTCTCTCAGATTGCATTCAGTAACTCTCAAACGTTTCACGTCATTGAACATGAGTATGACGACATGGCTCTCCAAACGTATCAAACCTGGTTCACCTCAAGATCAGCTCCGTTGACCTCCGTCGCTTCACCGCGGGTCGTCGCACCACTCGCCGCGCCTGGCCGAGCACCACGATGCCATCCGCACGTCGCAGCTGCGTCGTACCGACGTCGGTGGCCAGGAGGTCGTAGACGGCGCAGCCGGGCGGAAGCTCCGAGCGGATCGGGTGCAAGCCCAAGGCCTGCGGACCACGTTGACCCTGGGGTACATGATGGGTACATGATGGGTACATCCGAATGGTCCAGTGCCATCGACGTCGTTGACCTGGGATATGGACTGGCATCTACATTCACCCCCAGGTCAAACACTTGAATGTAAATGACGCAGAACTACTAAAAGCCTGATATTTGGTCCAGAACAAACCGGACGATGGATCCTCTGGCCACGACGTGGACATGTGTCTTCCTCACACGATGGATCCTCTCAGTCCTCTCGTAGGCGGATACGTTGGGACCTGGAAGGGTGAAGGGTGGACACCACGACCACTCGCTTCACCCAAGCACCGACCGGAGGTCTTCAGTCTTGGATGTCCACTACCTTCGCCGGAAGTGAAGTTGGCCGCAACGGCAGAATCGGCTTTTAAGCCTGGACTGGACTCCCCGGACTGGAGACGGTGTCCAAGCGGATGGGCAGTGCAGAAAAGGTCGAAAAGGCCATTTTTGGACGGTTCATGAGTATCACCTCCCTCCAAACGCTCTTGAAACATCTTCAAGAGACGCGGGGGGCTTTCTGGATCGGATGACCGGGCACGCTGGCGCGGGGGGACCGTCGGGGTGGTTCGGATCGAACGAAGGTTCGGACCCGAATCGGTTTGGGTTCCAATCAGGAGGATAACAGGCTTGGTTCATGAAAGACCAAGGAAGCACATTCCAAGACCGGTTCCAACAGCTTTTTCGTTGCATCTCTAATTATTTGGACCAACTTGTTCTGGGCGTTCAGACCAAAAGATCCCACACCATATCCATCCTGCAAAACAACGACTGTATATACACGTACATACTATCACTGCACACACATGTATATATATATATATGCTGTACTGTACAGTACAACTATAACAAAAGACATGATTGTACATGTATACATGATCTATGATATCTACGCCTATCTTTGCAAACAACTTTGGCTGTGGATTAGTTTGTCCTGTCTGTTTCGCATGTGCGGTCCCTTGGGAGTCTTCACACATTGACCGATGTCTAGCCGAGGTCCCGTCGCCTCTCGCAAGGAGGGGTCCGAGCATTGAGCGCAGCTGCGAATGCCAGAACAAATGCACGTTTTCAAACCATTGCTCAGAGGTTTGGGCGAATCCTCCATTGAAAGCAGGGAAGTGCATGCATGTCTAGGCTGCAGGCTTTTTGGCCTGTACTTTCGATGGTGCAAAGAAATGGACACGTAGAATTGGTGTAGCTAGAGTGGGGATGGATTCAAGTCTCAACTTGTCTCAACTGGATCCATTCTGAAACGTTGATTGCATATTTAATATCATGTTTATATGTTTGCTGCTGTCTGCTATAGGAAATCAACAAATTTGGTTCTCAAGTGGATTCAAACTAATCAGAACGCTTGGCGAATGCCAACAGCCAACATCACACGGCCAAGCCAAATTTCAGGCCCAAACCTGTTCAGAACTCGCTTCTCCTCTCCTCTCCAACCCTAAATCTGAGGACCTTTCTGTGCTTTGTTGACAACAACCTCGACCTTTCATCTCTCTCATCTCGAAATGGCTAACTCGGAAGAGCTCCAGGCTCACATGTCTGGTGCCTCCGGGAGCGAACACGAACTCTCCAGGCTCGATCGGCCGCTCGACGGATGGGAAGAACGACAAACTCCCGCACCTTCGGCGGCGAATCGCCCTCACCATCCTGGAAAATGCGTGGTCGCTCGTGTGGACTTGAAAGGAAACAAAGAGGAAACGCAGGAACCTGCACGCCTCTGCAGGTGGAACCAGGACCTTGGGCAACTTGGAACAAACACTGGAACAAACATCCTTTCTTTAGGAATTATTCCACCTTCATTTCGGAAACAAAACACAATCATGGATCCTCTGTGGTACATGATGCACGGGAAAGCCTTGCCATTGTGTCGTTCGATCTTCAGATACTGTGGGACTAGGTCGGCCAAGCATATCAAGCATTAACGCGGATGAACATCTTACCCTGATGACTGTGATATACTGTGATGAGTGCTGTGATCGTGATGTATACCAGGGGCTACTAGCGGAAAAGAAGTACTAGGACATCGTTGAAATGACAAATGATGTCGCAAAGCCTTGTAACTCATGAAGCACCTTCAGCATCCTTCAACAACTGCCACCCTCCTTTAAGTACATCACCACCTGACCAAACACCCGAGAGCTCTCTCCTGGAAGAATCTCCTGCCTCTCTGCATTCATGAGAACTCATCCACATCAACCGGAACTCCTCACCCCTCCACTTACAGCTCCTTACGTGTCCCCAACCGGTTCCCACCACCGGGAACCCCGGTCTCCTTTCCCGGCAGGTCCAGCGCGCGCCCGTCGCGGCGCCACGCGAAGCTCCACCACCTACGGCGAACGCGAACGCAGAGGAGGAGAGAGGGAGGGGTGCCCATGAAGAAATCGATCCAAATCATGGGATGATAGGTTTTTTGAGTCTCTAGAGACTCCAAACCATGCCAAATGTGATGAATTCCTTGGTTGAAAGCTACGACCGAAGACTATATATTATCATGTATATAATCGCTTCACATAGTGTGAATTCTGGCCTCGAGCGATAGCATGCCCAAATACTTTTTGACATGGACTTGCCTGCGGCTGTGTCTGGTACTTTCCCAGGTGATATCCTCCAAGGTTGGCTCCTGAAACAATTTGATGTACGATGATGTACGTGGCATACCGGGAGTCACAAAGGGGTGGTGTTTAGTCACCCCTATCCTCCAATAGACAACCCTGCAACTCTTTGAGACTGCTGGTAGACCCAATTTCTGTGCCGCCCCGAACCCGCACAAATCGATGCCTGGCTCGCTTGCCCGACGGGCCGCGTGTGGCCGCCTCCAGCGATGGAGACTGGTGGAGCACAAGAGTAGATGGACCCAGGATGATGTTTGGAGTGATGTTTGGATAGTTGATGATAGTTGTCCATATTCCGATCTCAAGATTGCAACCCCCTTTATGATCTTTATTGTTGGGAGGGGACACCCTCAAAAAAATCAACGTTCGGAGATAGACAAGCTCAGTAAATCTCAAGCATGTCATCGCAACATGTGGATGTTTGTTCCTCTTCGGCTCTCAGCGTTTTCCATCAAAAGCAATATCTCAAGCCACTCCCGGAGAAGGCTCTTTCACATCAGCTGCACTGAAACCTCATCGTCCTGCTGGTATAGTCACGGTAATTAGAAGGAACACCTGTAAAAAAGGGCACCACTATGACAACTGATGAGTTTGAATAGGTTTAGGATGGCACGGACATCCTTCGACGCCAAGCTCGGCGATCGGGTCAACAGTCACTCGCGGCGCGGGAGCAGTTTGCGGCTCTCAGTCGTCGCGTGGGCCTTGCCTTGTTGGGCTTGGACGGTGGCGCCTGCGCAGTAGTGAGGGGCCATGTTGCGGATGGGTGACTGGTGGAAAAACATCCGGGAGATCCCCTGGTCCTGCTTGGGAAGACTGGTGAGGTTTGGTTGATATTTTCTGAACCCAGGAGGTCGTGGACGAGGGGTCGATCGGAGCTACACACCCACGGCTGCGACTCCAAACCTGGAACACGGAAAGCTTCAGTGTTTTCTTCGGGAAAAACAACACGTCGGGAATCCAAAAGCTGCACATGTTGACGCCAACAGTTGTTGGGCATCTCTTCTTACTCTTGTTGCGTGGCCAGGGAAATTGAAACGTGTTGAAGTGATTTGCAGCTTCAAATCATTTATAAGGGGTAAGTACGTTTTCCCTTACAATAGCTCTGAGCTCACTTGGCAAATAACATGTATCAAAACAAGTCTCGGACGTCCACCGTGATGACGCTGGACTTGAAACGTTTGGGCGCTCTTTCCGCCCATCGGGACCGATGTTTGGCCTTTCGTTTTGGTCACTTCCTTTAGTTCCAAACCTATTTGAAATGGCCACCAACCTAATAAGAGCGATGGCCCCCAACCTAGTAGCTTCTTGCTACTAGTAGCGATGCCCTCGTCCCCCGTCTCTGAAGCTCCTGGAATGATCCAAATCCCTTCGTCCAGCCACCCGCCTCCGGAGGAACACCTCGGCGAGGAAGCTGCGGTGGTATGGCGGAGTCCAGCGCTGGACCGGATCACGAAATGACTCTGTTGGGATCATGCAAAGCTTCCTGAGGTTTCTGCTGTTCATCACCTGTCAAGCAGATCTGTCCTACACACCCGGTGACGACAGACTTGGGAGTTGCGCTCACCTGTTGAGGAACTTGGACGTTCTAGGTCGACCACCTTCTTCGTGCGGGGACTTTACAACCCCCACTCGCACTGGCTAAGCGGGAGCTCACTAAGGCTCGCAGGTGCGAGCCTGTGGGGGTGACCCGGTGGCCACAAAATGGTGGACCAGGGCCGCCAAATGAGCTGGCTCATAGCGCTACTTCATGCTACTTCCCCCATCGTCATGTCAGATCTCAAAAGCGATATCCAAATGAAAGATGATCAAAGGAACATGAAAAAATACAAAAACAGCATAAAATAGCACTGTCTGCCGCTCCAGGAAGTTGGATGGCCGCTGAAAAGTGCGGGCTTTTCAACTTTTCTATATATTTTCTATGCTTTTCTTGCAAGGACGGCATGCCATGGCCATGATGAGAGATATCGAAACGCCTCCGAAGGAGACGTTTGATGGTTGAACAATGGGTGGGGGGAACATGAGTGGTCCGGTTCCATACATTATGTAGCTTCCACCACCCATTCCACCAAAGAAGCATCACTACTCCTACGACGAGCAGCTGGGGACTTCATCGGTTGATGTTCAAGCGGCAAGGGACAGAGTTACCAAAGATGGATCTCGAACAACTACTCGGGCCCTTCATGCCGAGTTCCTTGGCCATTCCGACTCAGCACCGGTCATGAGAGCTTTGAGAATACTCTGAGAGCCCTACTGTAATCTTCAGCGTCCTGACGCGAGAGGAGGGCCGCGAGGGATTTTGGACGGTTCATCGACATCATCGGCGGTTGTCTTCAGAAAATCGTGCTTGTGTTGTAGATTTAAACATCCCAAAGGAGTCTGGGGTGTTGTTGCGCAAAATGCTCGTCTTTTTGGACAACGCTAGGCCCAACGCGAACGCTACCCGCCCAGCATCCACTCTGAAAGAGCTACTGTGGCACTCTTCGACTGAGTGGGTCGTCTTTGCTTCGTTGGTGCGTGGGAGTGGGAGTGTATGTTGCTCGCCACATTGACACCTTCCCTGGACGGTGAAGTGAGCAAACAGAACATACCTCACTCGGAAGGAGCGCTGTTTCGTTGGGTCTTTTGTATCCGCATGGTCTTTTGTGGCCAGGCCATGACTCATGACCATGTTTCTTGGAGAACGAAGCCATCCATCCACGCGAGGACCTCATCGATCCCACGACATCGGGGCTATCATTGGCTGCTCTGGTCATGGGATGTGCTGCGAAAAGGAGACGAACAACAGAAAGGCCGACGTGTGGCCAGGCTTTCTCTATCTTTCTCTGAATCACTTTGGGGCAAGCACGATTGTGGTGAATGAATGACACACTCCCTGCAAGGTGAAAACCGTGGAAAACCACCGTGGAAAGCCACCGAGGAAACCACATGGTCATCCTTTCGGGGCCATGCCATCCACTTCGTGTATCACATGGGGCCGTGTGTTGTAACTTTGGCTGGGAAACGGTGCACTTTGCAAACGGCCCCGTTCTCAAACGGAGGATGAGTCCGAAATCTCTTGAGTTGTGTCCTATAGGGTGTGTTCCCTGGGGTGAATTCAGTGATTGTCTTCTCTTGTTGTTGATATGGTCACTCTTCATCTTCGAGAGAAAATCGATCCTCAACAGGTCTCCTTCAGTCCCAAGAGGCGGTCAGACCAACACCCAACATCCAACCACGTAACTGGAGATGTCTTCTTAAGGGTGCGTATTACATTACATCTTCATACATCTTCATCGCAATATATTTTTTGGAGGCCACCAAATCCATCGCGGGTCCTCTTTCCGAAATCCCAAATCCATGGCCCCAACGAACCAACGCGCCTCCCATGTCTAAAAAAGACAACTCCTATCCTATCTGCATACCGGTGCCTTGTCCTGTTCAAACGCTCCGCCGCCGTTTCGTGGTCCGCACTGCGCCTCGCTCTGCGGCGGAGCCACCTCGCTGCCCTCCCCTTAGAGGCGCCGAAGCGGCGTCAAACCGAGCTCAGGAAGGGTGTGGGGATCGGAAGCACCCTAGCTGGATGGCTACAGGTTGAGTCCAATGGAAGACAGGAAGACCAGAAGACATGCCTTGGACCTTGGATTGCCTTGGTCTGTGTGGGTGGAGTCTCCATCGGCGTATCGTAGTTTGTGGAGCTTGCTTTCGTGCCAATCTTCACAATGGTCAAAAGAAGCCGCCCAAACCCTAGGCGCTCACATTGTACCCATCAAGGACTCGACCAACTTCCTGTCGGGGCAACACATGTTTTGCCCCCAAGAAATCCCCAAATGGTCCACCAAAATGTTTCAGAGAAACACCATGAAACACCCCCCACTTGCGCAAAAAGCTGGCTGCACTTCCTTCGGAATCCAACGACTCCTGAAACTCACCGCTTCGGAAGCATCCACGACTCCTTCTCACCGGTGCAAAAGGGCTCCTGCCTTTCAGCTCCGAAGGCACGAGTCCTTCTTCGGGCCTGGGAGCGGGGCGCGCGCGGGCGGTTGAAGGGGGCCAATGAAAACCCCGGGCCTTTCCAGGTTCAACGCTTCAAATGAGGAAAATGATGGACAATGTACATGAAATGATGGCAATGTGAGTGATCCACTCTAATACACCATTGAATTAGATTGAAAGTGGAAAATTGCCCCTTGGATGACCATTTCTCTTCTACAAGCAGCTGGCTATTTTCACTCAATTAGTAGTAAATTGATGATGCCGGATGCGCCCCTACCTTGGACCACCTGACCGTACCACCCACCCTCAATTCATTTAGCTAAAGGAGCACCGGTTCTGATTGGCTCGGACCCGAGTGCGTCGCGGTCTGACGCGACACCGTTGCGGTCTGACGCGACATCGTATGCTGACTGGTCCTATCTTTCAGACATAGGACATCGCTGTAGACAAACCCACTTCCTCCAATGATCTTGTCAGGCATGACTATGGCACTGGTATGTACTGGATTGTACTGACTGGATCTGACTGGTATACTGTAGACGATGGTGTACTACGGCGCTTTTTACATCGACCCTGTTGCTTTTCAAAATGCCACCCTTGATTCAGGGGAAGTGGTGTGTCTCAATCGACGGGCCGACAGGCCCCAAATTTCAAATGAAGATCGCTGTGCATAAGCCACACGAAGCATACATCCAGAATACGCCAGTGTTCTCTCTGTTCCATTCATTTAAGGGGTTTGAATCGAGGGTGCTATTCATTTCGAGATAGGCCCACATCAAACTAGACCTTATAAAGATCAATGCACCATCACTGCACATGTTTGGCTAGGAGAAAGCTGGCTAGTTGACTGGCAACAGTTTTGTTTAGATGCGTGATCAATGCCTCTGGAACGCTGGCGAAGAATGGATCAAAATTGAGGATCCCTATCCGAGTCTGATCCTCAATTTGTATCTGTTCCATGTTCTCCTGCTCATGTTGTACCTAAAAGCGATGGCCTCCAAGCTAATATAGGACATATAGCTTCACTGTCCATCTTTTAGGTGGGCTTCTGTCCCTTCTTCCTGACCTCACCAGCGAGCCGACCGAGCTTCCTCCAACGTCACGATGGCCGGGTCCCAGGTCCCCCGGGCTTCGGGTCGAGACTATCCGGACAAAGCGTGGCAACCTGCGGCGACCCGGTCCACCGGAGGATCCCTTTTTCGAGCAAGGACGCTGCGCCCGGTGGAGGCCATCCGCGTTTTTTGGGTGGAGGCCATTCCTACTATAGCAAGAAGCTACTATAGTAGCTATTTGCTACTAGTAGCCAATCAATGTTCACAGAATGGACGACTGACATCGATCTGCGACCTTCGGAGGTCCAGCATGTTATGCATGTTGAATACTTGGTGCAACTTGGTGCCATGAGCCAGAGCCATATCGACCTTTGGACTGGGTGACTTAGTGACCACTTGAGAGTCTTTTCGAACAGTGACCACCGACGTTCTGGGACTCAACATCGGATCTCATTTGGACGGTCACGATCACGGGACCGAGGTGAGGAAGCGCAGAAGCGCTGAACAGGACGAGCAGGACTCTTGGGGTTTGGCGGATCCATGGGGCCTCCGCCAAACACACTATAGGTCGCCGAGAAAGTGTGATAGCTCGTTCCCGGGCTTCCAGGAATACCCGACGGCTCGCCGAGCAGTGTCTGATAATTCCACCATCGAAACAAAGAAACGTTGAATAGATCGACATATTGATGCTGTTTGGCCCGGGTGCGGCCTGTAGCCGCTCTGTTCTTGGCCTACTTTCTAGGCCAAAAAATCCTCGGCATGACGGATGTGGATGATCCGACCAACAAGGCCTGGTATACCCGACCTCTCGATCCGATACGACCTGAGGACAAGACAGGGACTTGCATCATGGAAGACCGACCAATTGGGGAAGGAGACAAGGAGAACCGGCCTCGGCAAGTCTGGCTGCTGTTGATGGAGCGACCGCTGTTGGGCAAACATCCATCCCCTTCCACCGACGGCCTCTTCCTCATAGATGCTAGACTGGTCATGATGTTCTGCCTGACAGGTGCACAGCAGTTGCAGAGCTACAGAAATTCACTGCGACCGCTGCGACCACCTTGAGAAACTCGATTGACTTGTTCCGTTTGGCTTTCGCAGTAAATAACTGACCGTCCGCCCAATCGAAACTGTTTGCATGGTTCGGAGTGGACGGATCCTTGCTTTGTTTCGCCGTGCACCGATCGTTGATATGGCCGCCCGTTGACCGAACATGTCCACCACAAACCGCAGGCTGGCTGGGAAGAGACCAGGCTTGGTACATCAGATTTAGTGAACAAAGCCTGCCAGCAACCATGGTTGGAGGCCATCGCTAGTAGGTTGGAGGCCATCGCTAATAGGTTGGAGGCCATTGCAATATATTGCGATTATATATAGGTTGGAGGCCATCGCTTCTAGGATTGTGTGCAAACCACCCTGGTGTTGGTCATCAAGCGATTCTGAAATAGAGCACCATGCTGTTGGCCAAAACCGACCGATACACGTTCTGTGATGTCTCTCTGCTTGGTTTATGGATACATGTTTGCACCGGTAAAAGGATATCAAAGGATGTCCTCATGTTGCATGGAGCTGCAAGGTCCAAGGTCCCCAGTGTCCGGTCTTGTCGGCCATGTCCACGCGGTTTAGCCCAATGAAATTCGGTCATCAGGACATGTCCGCTGTTAGATGCCTTGAATCCAGGCACGACGCCCCCCCCACAAAGTGCCCAACGCTCTACACATGAAGAGAATGCTCTCCTCAGAGAGGTTGCCCACAGGATTTGGGTCGTTAATCCTTCCCCTTCCCCTTCCGCTCTCCTTCCAGCCACGGACGCTCCCGCCTCGGGCAGGGTGGCTTCTTCCACCTGGGACGGCGTGGGACGCTGCGGGCGTGCGGCGTGCGGAGAAAACGGCGTCCATCGTCGGAACTCCGGAGGCTGTGGGTTTTGCCCGATGTTGGGCAGCCTCCAAGTTGCTTGGAAAACAGAGACGGAAAAGACCAGCACATGCTGAGACCAAAAGGGTTGGCAAAGACCTCGAGGACCTCCACATCTTCCCCAAATCTCTTAAGTGATTCTCTGTGTGGTTGACTGGGTCTATATACACTAATCTACCAGCAAATCCTGGCAGTTCCCCCACTTAAAGCCCACGTGACCTCTGCTTTGATTGGACAAGACCATAGTTTTTTGGGTGGCTAGCTCACCCATCACATGGAGACCTCCCTCAGTGGCAAGTGAGGCCAGGGCCCCGTCCGGGACGTCGGTGACATATAGGTCGGAGGAAATTGAAAACCACGCGAGCTACACGAACCACTAGGTGCTGTCCAGGCCGTCCAGGCCAACAAAAAAAAATAAATTCAAGAAATGAAAAACAACATGCAAACCAGCTTCTTCGAACCAGGTCATCCGGAACCAGGTCATGCGGTTTTTGGGGCGTCGGCGTTTGAACATGTTTGGACTCAATCAAAATTTGCATTGAGTCGGGTCGGTCTGGCCGCAGAATCTTCAGCAAGCTTGAAGCAACAGAACCAACAAACAACAAATCATGGGCCTCACTGTTGGTCTGATGTCTGTGTCGGTAATTTGGGTGCGTCGCGCAATGTTGCGTATCATGTTCGCTGTCGGCTTCTCAAAGGTTCATGCTCCACTTTTGTTGAACATCCTTATAGAAGCTACTAGGGTGCAGGCCATCGCTCTTAGGGTGGAGGCCATCGCTCTTAGGGTGGAGGCCAGCGCTCTTGGGGTGGAGGCCATCGCTGCTAGGTTGAAGGACATCGCTACTAGGTTGGAGGCCATTACTACTATCTTTGACAGCAATCTTAGCTTTGACAGCAATCTTTGACAGCAATCTTAGCTTCGCCCACTTGCTTGAAGTCACGTGCGCTCGTTTTATACAGGAAACCTCCCAGCTCTGTGTCTCCCTACGTGATCTAGGCATTGGGCTCCCTCACCACACTCAGGTGGCCATAAGGGTTGAAAGCTCAGTTTTACATGGCACTGAACCCCTGGCCAGTGCTGCAGTAGGGTGGCTGCAGGTGTCTAAACGTCTTAATGCAGCGCACTATAGGGCCTTGAAAGCCATACTGGGTATTGAGGGCATTTCCCTTGGCTCAGGGGGCTATGCCCGGGTCTTGTGTGCTTTAGGTATTGACCTACGTCTTGCTACCAAGGTGGCTTTGCGGATCTTGTCCGCCAGGGCTAGGTTACTTATGGTGCCCAGTCAAAGTGCCATTCCCGGCATCCTGGAAGGAGCACGGCGAGTGCCCGGAGCGACGTGGTTAGATGATTCCTTGGCATTGGAGCACAGATTTGGGATCCCTGAGGATTTCATTGAGTTTGCTCAGCATGTGGCTCCAACGATCTCTATTACATCTAAGGTGCGCCTTTGGATACGGTCGGCTGTACTTCCCAAACTCCTGCATTTTGATCGCGACTGGCTTGCATCGCAGGAGCAAAATTTATTTCCTTGGCTGCATGATGCTTCTTTGGAGAAGAAAGTCTTGGCGATACTTGCATCGGCACACTGGAGTAAACGTGAGTGGCTCTATACTCGAGCTTGGTACCTCTCCCGCCTTTCTGGGCAAGTTCCCTTTGGTGTGTTTGGCCACCACAGCTTTGGCGTGGATCTCGGCTGCCCTCACTGTAATCACCCACTTACTTTGGCCCATCTGCTCCATCGGTGCACGGCCGTGGTCTCCCATGCTTTGCGCTGGGAGTGGTGGCTTGAACCGGTGCTTGAGTTGGAGCCTCTGCATCAGAAGATCCTCCACGTTGGTCGTTGTACTGCTCAGGTTCATGCGGCTTTGAAAAAATTGCGACCTCAGGTGCATTACGACGTGGCGTGGGTTTCAGCTCTTTAGATGTTTTTTTTTTTTAGGTGAAGGCAGCATGTTTGCAGCGTTTTTGGCGCCCACATGTGCTCTGGTTGAGACCCCTTTTTTTGTTTTCCTTTCACCTTCATCTCCACCACTCCGGCCATGTTTGGCGCAAGTGGGGAGATTGCTGCGGGGCACCGTCTGACGTGTGCCACCCCAGCCGCCCGCCATAGGGCGTCCACCTAACAGAGCCTAACAGAGCCTACTAGTAACAAGAAGCTACTACTCCTTATTTAGAGCGCCAGGGAATCGGCGCCTCGGAGCTGTAACAGGATCTCGTGCGGCCACTGTCTCGTGTGTGGAACAATGAACATATAGATTACTACAGCCACCAGTCGTGTACCCCGACAGCTGAGGTTCATAACGAGTGATCCAGCTGTTCAAGAATCTATGGTATACATTGTACCAGAGCTATGGCAGGGCCGTTTGCTCAATCAGTGTCGAAATCGGCTCTTGGCCTCTGACGGCCTCTGAGCCCCTGGCGGGTGGATCTGCACCTGAGCGCAGTGGTTGCGAAATACACAAGTGGTTGCTGGAGAGTTCAATGGCAGGAAATGTAGTGAAGAGGTTCCTCCAACCTAATTGCAATGGCCTCCAACCTAATGGCAAAAGCCTCCAACCTAGAAGCGATGGCATCCAACCTTGCTTCCCACAGTTAGAGTTGGTCTCCTTCATCCATGTTGTATATTTGACCCACCCCTGTCTTGGCTGTCAAGAATGCACCAATGTGAGTAGCAAGCATGCAAGGAAAAGCAAACATGATCCTGGATCGGTAGGCGTTTACTCTTTCCTACCAGAATGGCCGCGGCTATGGGCTCGGATCCGAGCCGCCGTTCTGAAAGAGTGCCATCCGAGCACATCCGAGTAGCTGGAGCCGGTACTCGGCACTGAAACCGCATGGTATTTGCTCCCCAAAATATGATGGTCCACCGTGGAGCCCTGTTGGTGAATTGACTTGCAGTCAATCGACGGCGTTAAATCGGGGTTCCCTGCCTTTGGCATCAGCCACCTGGGGGATACGGTGGCATACGGTGGCATCACTGCACGATGATCGCCACATCTGTCTTTAAGCATCTCTGAGCTGCTGTCTCTGATTTAGATATCTTCCTCCAGCACAACATGACTCGGCCGAGTCATCATACAAGATTAAACAAACAACATCAAACAGCACCCCAAAAAAAAATCTATAGGCCCACAAGGCCCACAATGAAGTAAGTCTCGGCTTTTGGGCTGCAAACTGAGATCCAAATCTTCTCAAAAACAAACATCTTCCCTTCTTCTTCCAGACTGCCCCCTCTCGGCTTCACCGGTCGGTTCGACCGACTCGAAAAGCCTCGGCGCGAAAGAAGGCCTCGGTGGTTCGGGCCGGCACGCAGGCGCATCCAACGGCGTTCACGGGAGGAATGGCATTCACCAGGAATGGCGTTCTGCAGATGACTAAACCGAAGGAATCCAGGACGCTATGCTCGGTGGCCATCGCGGTCGTAGGTTGGAGGCCATCGCTACTAGTACGAGTATCAGTAACAAGCTACTAGTAACAAGGTTGTACACATATATGGCATGTTCCTGTGCTGCACCTCTTTCTTCGGTGTGGCATCTTCCGTATCAGCGATCGAAGCTTTTTCGTCCGGCACATCGGTCGGCCGCTGAAAGCAACGGAGACAATGGCTCATGCACATCTCTGGGCTTCAGCGAAGCAGCACATCTTGAAATGCAAGGAATCCTGAAGTACTCTGTACAATGTTGACTAAGGAAATAATAAGCAATTTTGAGGTTGACTTTGCTCACTCAAGGACTATCTAAGATCTCTCAAACTACGAAGTCCACCATGCTCCTACTCGCCCTGCTCTCAAGTTGTTCCAAGAAGGCCTTTCGAGCTGCAAAGGCACACGACTCGGCATCTACTACTTCCACTGCTTTGCTTCGGGTGGGGTTGAGAGAAGCGCCACGCCCCAGAAGCATAGGGAGTGTTGGTTTCATTGGTGCCAGCTGGACTGGTGCATCTCTCGCTTCCTTGCGCGAAAGACGAGCCAGCACGGCCACCCGTGTTGACGATGCAGCTGTCGCAGCATCCACAGGGCTAGACGATTCCTCCTCCGGTTGTCGCAACCGACCACCAAGGAGGCGGGAGAGATTCCCCAAAGCTGGCCCAGTCTGCTCATCGGCAAAATGTACTTTTGCACGTTGAAGGGTGGAGCCCAAGGAGCTGCGCTTTTCGACTTCTTCCGGAAAGAAATGGAGCCCAAGGAGCTGAGGGGAGTTGAGAGGGCTTGCCATGGTGAAAGAACTCAGCGCCGGTGTCTTGGGACTCATAGGCGTCTTCGGTGTGCGCATAGCTTTTGGTGAAGGCGCATGTGTCACAATGCTCTCAAAGCTCTGGGAAGCCTTCGCCAAGAATCGCATAGAGAGTGCCATGGTTGCAAGTCCGAGTTGGGTCAGTAACTGATTCTACCTCTGCTTGCTTGAGATCTTTGGTGACAGCAGTCATATTATATATATTATATAATTCATATATCAAAATCAAAGACTCTAAATGACTTAAAGATGACTTCAAGCATACTAAAGCATCTCTGTCACGCAGCCTGCGTGTCATTCAGCCTCTGTCCTTCCTTCCATCGCGGATCTCCGACCCGGTGCAACACCGAGTGGGGTGGTGTTGAGTCCCATCCAGTGAGTGGATGTGACAGGGGCACCCCATCCATGGATCGCACCCCCTGTGAATTGTGACTGCTGGTATGTTGACCATGAGGAGTCATAACTGAGATTTTTGTTGCATGATTTTGCGATGAACCTTGAATCGTCTTGGAATTGCCACTCCAAGGACCCGACACCAATACTCCAGTTCTCCTGGAGCGGCACGGAGCAGCTCGGTGAAGACGAAAACGCTTCGGTGAACCAAGGTTCAGACTGAAGAAACTCAACAAAGACACTGCCAGGACCAGCAGGTTGGGTGCCAGGACCAGCAGGTCGGGTGTGGCTTTGGGATGTTTTTGGGACTCTGAGTCCGGTGGGCAAAACACCGCTCAGCAAAGACCCATCCTGAAAAGGGTTTAGGTGGAGAGATTGAGCCTTCCACCATGGTGTCTCCAAAAAATGCAATCAAACAGCTTCAGCATGCCTCAGCTCTGCTTCAGCTCAACGAACGACTCGCTTCCTCCACTGCAGCCGCAACCGGTGATCTTCAAACACCAATGGCCCTGGCCCAAAGGGTATGGGGAAAATGCGTTCGCTTTGAAATGCCATGTGCAAAAACCCCAAGTTTGTGAGGCTCCCAACAGGTGCCCATGCTCAAGAACCACAAAACCGAGCAAAACCGTCCGCCGGAGACGAGTTCGTCTTCCCAGCGCTCCTGTCCGCCGGGCAAGCCCGCCACGCCCACCAAGGTGCCCCAGGGCGACTCGGGTGGTGGTGGGACCACAATCTGGCGAGGCGACAAAAGCAGATCGGGTGCCACCGTACCAGGGGAACAACCGGGATTTATGGGGATATAGCTTGTTTATAGCTTGTTTTGTGATGCTTGGTCAACGAGTGACCTCCAAAATACTTGCCAGGGGGGAAGGGTGCTCCAAGACCTTATTGAGCATCTTTTTTCCTGAGTGTGAGCTTTGAAGCAGAACACATGATCAACACCGAGAAGACTTCCCCTCAAGCGTCGGGGAGAGGGAACGCCACGGCTATCGCTATCGCACCTCCTCGCTGAGCTCCATCGAGGCCTAAGGGAGTCACGTGTCAAGTTCGGATGCTCAGTGGGATCGAAAACGCAAGTCATTTGTGGAACATGACATGGCTCCATAGCTACGACTCCAACCCTCACATGTCCGCCTGTGGCGGCCGAAAAAACCACCAGAATCCACCAAGGTGGGTTCTAGACTTGGTGGAGTCATGGCAAGGACCAGGATGACACACAGTGTCTTCTGTTCACATGTGAAGCACCCGGAGAATCCATCGACTTCGCCGATTCCACCGTCTTTCAACGGCGACACCGATTCCGGTGAGGCGAACGGAGGCACGGACGTAAGACTTGGAGACCTGGAGACTTGAAGGTCCTTTAGACGCCAAATCCTTTGGGTAATAGAGCGTTGGGACATAGAAAAGGAGATGAAGTGTCCCTTCAAAAGTTCTCGTGCTTTTGTGGAAACACCTTCCTCTCCTGAAGAAAGCCTGGCCAAGCCTGGACAAGCGAGATGTCCCAAAAACCCACATGGACTCTGACGATGGACGCCCGGAAAATGGTTTTTCCTTTCACCAACCAGTGGTTTTCAGGGTCCAATGTTAGTCTTCAAGGTCGTAAGAGTTGGTTCTACCTTCGGGTTTTTGGCATGTTGGGTCTCAAGACCTTCGCTCCCTGAAGCCATGCCTTTTTGAGGAGTCCAAACTCGTGCGTTCGACAACCCAGGACCAGGTTCAACCCACCGGAGCCCAAGAGTTGCATGTATTGGGTACGTACTAGGCTACATATAGGGCGGGCAGTCCGAAGACGTCCTTTTGCAACAAACTGGGCAAGGAGCAATTGCATGAAAAGATCTGATTCACATCTCAGTCCACCCATCCCCAACCATTCAGGCATCCCAACATACGAGTATATAATTATATATAGTATTATTATGTGGGCAAGCTGACAAAGCAAAGAAGCTTTGTTGTTCGCAAAGGCCTAGCTACTTCCGGTGACATGAAAACTGATGCCGTAACCTTAGTATCCGTAACTAGGCCACTCCTCGCGTGAATCTCTTGTCTCCTTACAAAACAACAATCTGCTTGAAGACTTCTGGAACTGGGTTTCCATGCCACCGCCATCTCGTCGCTACTGAGTGCACCATCCCCATAGCTGCCCGTCTCCTGTTGCATGGAAGATCCGTCCGAGCTGAACATCGAAGTTTTGCGAAGCAAACGTGTCGCCTATGAGCTCTTTTCATGGTCTTCCGGTCTAAAAACCCTACTACGGCGCTACGGTGTGGCTGAATTTGGAGACTTTGGACTCCCCTCAACCGTCCTTCGTACCTTCTTGCCGAAGCTTTAGAATACCAGCATTTGAGGCACATGCTTCGGGCGCCCTCGACGGTCGATCCTCTTCGCCACGTTCCTTCCAAACCTGGCACCAAAGCTTCGGGCGTCGTCGGCAGCCATTCCCCGCAGCAGCAGCCGAAGGTCTCTACAGTCTGTGACGATGTTTTTGTGATTTGGAAGGCATTGATACTTTTTGACAGCCAGAGTACGGGTACGTACACCTTTTCTTTGGTTGGTATATGTGCCCCCAAAAACTGTATTTGTCAGGAAATCTCGCCAAGTGTAGGTTTTCGAAAGGAGGTAAGTATGTGGCATGTCTTATATAACCATCCTCGCAAAAAAGGAACCTATATAGTTACATTTCCTGAGCGGCTCAATCATGTAATACCTGGATCTTCAAACGGCACAAATTTTTGCCGGAGGCATTTTTTAGTGCCGCAATCAAAAAAAATGCCGTTTTATGGGTTGTACAAAATCCATGGACGGGGAAAGACGCCGTTTGGACGCCCAAAGACGCCGTTTGGACGCTTAAAGACGCCGTTTCTTTTTGCTTTCTGCCGGCGTGCGCCTCGTCACAACAAAAAACGCCGTCTTTGGAAAAAGACGCCGTAACGGTATTTTTTCCTGAAAAGGCAATTATTTGTGCCGTTTCGAAGATCCAGGTATATGAATCATATATAGAATATACATACCAATTTCTCATGCAAGGACAGTGATTGCTGGAACAAATCATTGTAGAGACGCAGTGAGAGTCTGACCCGGCGCTGTCGGCCCCGGTGGTTTTGGGTTCCGGACTTCCGTTGGTCTTCTCGGTGCCCCGACGGCTTTCACCCGGCGTGGCGTGCTTTCCCGGCTTCCGCCTGGGTCCGAAGCATCGGAAAAGGCTTCGAACCCACGTCCCAAAAAGGCTGGGACGACAAGCGTGTTGTCTCATCAGTGAGACAGTGAGTCCTCAGTGAGTGAGTCCGAAAGCTTGGTCAAAAAGGTCCAGTGGCCTCCAGTCCCTCGGAATTTGGGTGACCATGTTTTTCTTCGCGAAAGGACACGTGTGAGAGTCTTGGGACGAGAAAAGCCAATCATTGCCAGACTTCTGAGAAGCTGTTTTCATCTCTAGCGCCAGGGCTCCAGTCGTACCTCGTCAGAAGGTATGACTGGACCCGACCAGAGCACCCACCCCAGTCCCACCTTCGAAACGAAGGTGCGACTGGAGCCCACACGGGTAGATCATGATAGAATCAATATCTTTCACCTCTGCCTCACCCCTATCTTTCACCTATGAAAGCTAGCGTGGTGTGCACGGGGTTGAATGGGGACCTCTCTTCATCTGGTGCTTCCTATCGGTGCTGCGGGCAGGCATCGGGCGCCCCGTGCCACTGGCCACACCATCGATCCGTGAACTGATCGAACCTTTTTGGTCGAAACGTTCACGGTAGCGGTGTCCATACTCTTCTGAAAAAGGTTCATCAACAGATTCTTGCACAAACCCCTCGCACTTTGCTCACATCTGGTTGGAGGCTCCTACAAACATATAGTTCTCAAGGTCATTCTCAATTCAATACAAGCCAATGTTGCTCAGAAGATCAAAGCGTCAGGCCGCCAGACTGGGCCCTCCGACGTGTGAGCAGTGGTTTCGCGCTGAAGAGCTTGGGTGTACTTTGCCTCAGCTGTGGCACGCCGGGATAAATTCCCTTCTTGGAAACGATTGGAAACGCATCTTTATGTCCAAATGAACAGAAATTAATGAGTGATTGACTACCGAGAATGAGCAGGAATGGCCACCGGAAAATGGACTCCAACCACGAGTCCCGTCAGTCTGTCTCGTCGGATCGGATCATCCGCACGATCCTGAGGGTTCCGGGCTCCTTCCGCAGTCTGGACTTGGAATTCGTGCGGCTGCTGCCTGGTCGAGTCAGCGAGCTCAGCGAACAGGCACGATGCGAAGCGAAGCGAAGCGACGCCGACGGTGCGCGAAAGGATGGTATACAAGTCCAACGTAATACGCTTTGTAAGAGTCCATGGTGACTTGGTAAGAGTACAACCATTGGTGACATGGTAAGAGTCCAACGTAATACGTGTTCGGCCCGTTTTGGGCATCGATGACATCCTTCCCGAACCCAAGCCCAAGGCGGGTTTTATCAGACGAAACCCCCTCTCAAAGCGTTGGGACGATCGACGATGGACAAATATTTTGAGTTGGACTCACAGGGCGTTCGGGCCGTTTGGCAATCGTTGTTCAAGCCCGTTTGGAGCCTGCGAGACTAGTTATATAAGCTGCTCAAGATTTTAGTAACAACCAGTCCCACCCAAAGGTTGGTTTATAGACCTCCCTGACCATGCAATGTTCCATCCAATAACCACCCTTTGTCCTTCTGCTTGGAACACTTTGGCCCTACGTAAGTATAACCTGCCTTTGTCTGCGAAGAAAACACACCAAGGCAGCCGCGGCAAGCCACGGCAAGCACGGCCTTTGGATGAGAGGCTCCGTGGCCCACCACGATTGAGATCCTCGTGCAAGGCTTCCAGGACGAAGTCCAAGAACTCCTGGCGGAACCGAGGTGTTCAACAACCGGTACTTCAGGTACGAGTACTTGGTATTGAACCGCGTAGAAGGGCGTAGAAGGGCGAGCTTGGTCTTCTCATGTTCGGGTTTACGAGTGGGTTTTCTCAGAATCCGTTCCCACGATGAGAACGGTTGGCACCCCAAAAAAACAGCTGTGGTTTCTTGTGGTCTCCGGTGTAGGTCAATGTGCAAGTTCGGAGGTCAGGGCAAGTTAAGTCACACCAAGTTCCCAACACCTGGAACTTTCGCAGAAGAAGTCCGTATTATACAATATTATACAGTATAGTTTGGTTTCCCTTGCGCGATTGATTCTTTCAATCTATTGTGGCAATTTGTACCCCAGGTTGCTTCGATAACAAACGTGAATCGTTCAAACAAATGCACGATCGTCAATGGCAAACAACTCGGCGTTGATTTGTGTTAATCAAAGGCTCTCCACTGGGTCATCAACAGTTCACGCACAAACAGGATTGCGACGTCAAAGAGAATGCAGCGGTCTCTTGGCAGCTCGGGGCATCTGATTCAAGGTCGCATGCCTTAAGTTCTCAGTTCTGATATGATCTGATATGACTCTTGAATTCCAGTGTTCCCACCGAAAAGCGCTTTCTAACGCCTAACGCGCCATCAAGCCACGAATCGAACCAAGACATTCGCAACATGTCGCAACCATCGCAAGGGGCACAAGGCCAGTTTGGCTTTACTACGATGGATCGCCGGCCAAACTCTCCCGCCCTTTCACCTGCGCATCATGCTGCTCGTACCCCGCAAACTGCGGAGCAAACTGGTCAATGGTGCGCTTTAAGTTGTTGGGGCTGACCACGGAACCTGCAGCGGCGCAAAACTACAGTGCGGTTCCGCTGGTTCCGGAGGTGCTGAAACAGGTCAGTCCAACTGATGCAATGCAAAGGAATGTCGAGCAGCTTGGGTGCCCATCTGACAATATAGATATGATGTCTGAAAAGCATTAAACATCATATCAGCCTCAAAGAGATATGTCGTAAAGACCCTAAGGAGTTGAAGAGGAGTTGGAAATCCTAGGGGCTTTGCATAGGTTTTGCCCCGTGTCCTCTTGTGCATCTTCATTCAGCCCTCTCGTTAGCAGGTCCTTGTGAGTATGACTGACATTGTAGGTACATGAGCCACTCAACACACCTGGATGGTCAGTGGGACTTGGTTCTTATTCGTTGGGCCCTCTGCCGTCGTGTCGAAGAACATCTTCGATACCAAGTCACCAAGAGAAGCACCAAAACGAGACTCAACCCAATCACTAAGGAGCCAATAACAAACACACACACAAATAACAATAACAAACAAACATCCCAGCACACAAACCCATCAGTCGGTCTCTCACTGCTGGTAATGATCTCAAAATATCTCAAAATGCTCAGAAAACGCCCATGATGGGGTCATTCTGTCGAACATTTCGGACAGCACCCTGCGGATATTCCAGTATGGGTGCCATTTTATTGGGAAAGGTTTCGGAATGGCCAGCAGCCCGGCAGTAATATACATATATCAAGGGATCTTATGTTAATACATTATGTTCTCTATCTATTGATCGAGCGTAACTATTAAATATATAGATATTATAGTCCGATGCGATGCATTCATACCTCATTTATACAATTGTGGTCACTCTTCACGTCCAACGCCCCCTGGCTCCACTCGCGGCACCCCGAAGCGCGCCCCCCTCGCTTGCCCGGACGGCTCGCCTTTGCCGGACCAAAGCTCCAAGAGCACCGATCCAAACTCTTGAGCAAACTTCCCCTGGTCCGGCTGAGCTCCGAGCAGGGTCAGAAAGTGAACCAAAAAAAGTTGGATGTGGATCCTGGGACCTGTTCTTATGCAGAAGATTCCCTTGTATTGTTTGGTGGTTTTGATATGTTTTGATGCACGGTTCGACTGGTTGAACCAGGCTGCACTGCTGGATCAGTCAACAGTGCCGACACAACCACGGCTCTTCACTCGGCTCCTCTAGATCCATCAGAAAGAGGGTGTTACAGTAGCCTCAGGGTGTATAGTAAATTGGTGCACTTCAACCAGGGGTTGGGACCATATAAATGTGCCCCTTTTGCCATCTGCTCCAAAGTACTTTCCAGAGGCTGCACTCCCATGCCCTCAAACCCTTGAGCTGCCACCAAGTCATCCCAGCCCGACTGGGTACATTTAAAGGCCTTAGAGTCACCATCCCAACCCACCCAGAAAAATTTGTTCGGGACCTTTCCAGCACATCTCTAATGTCTAAGGCATTCGTTTGTTTCACCCTCCCCACAAAGCACCAAGTCGGTCGACACCACCCTGCACCGAGCGTCCGCAACTAAACACATAGGTTGTGAAAAATCCATTTACATCGGTGTACTAAATGCACACCGGGATCGCAGCATACAGCAAATTTTATTTAAGTTGCGTTGCTCGTTTGAGATGCATGGTTGCTTTTTATTTTCGTGGATTCGTGGGTCCAACTAAGTGCCACCCTCACTTTCGGCCTCTACTCCTGAGACAGGAGAGACATTACCAAGGCCACCAGGTGAGAACAGTCCAGCACCATAAAGCTGAGTACGATGTATAATACAGCCGCCCAACAACGGCGCTGGACAAAACGAAGGAACGAAGACGAAAACAAGGAACAATTTGTTTAACAGGGGGTTCTTGGAGAAAGTGAATGAAATCGCGTTCTTTTCTGTTTCATGCTTTTGTGTTTTTCTCCTTCCTTCCTTGCTTGCTCGCTCGCCCTCTCTCTCTTCCCGTGTGTAAAATTTCAGGCTGAGGTCCCGACGCGTGTTGTCTGTCCAGTGTTGTCTCTGTGCTTCCGCTGTCTGCCTTTGAACATTCTCCCTTGTTGGGACTTTCTGTACATGGTGTTGTTTCACACCGTCCCTGGGTTAGCACAATGTGTTGTGCTCACCAGACTGTTGGCATCCGCTGAGGATTTCTGTGCACTTTACAGCGGCTGCACAGATCAAAGGTGTTGTCTGTTGTCTGCTGCTGCAGTTTACACCTGTTGATCACGGCTAACTGACATCAAGTTTAGCCTGCTAGTTGTTCTCCACAGCTTCTGTTCTGTCAATCACTTTAGGCTTCCACCTGGACAGCCTCTGCTGTCGTGATCTTCGCTGCTTTCCAAGAAGTTCTTCAGCTTCCAAATGCTTATGCTCGTCTTTGCTGCCTGTCATCCAATAATTGTTGAGGACATAGTTGAGGTGATTCTCATGCCCCGTTCGCCTCTCCGGATCCTGGGTTCACGGATGAGTCACGTACAGGTTGGACGCTTTCCACTCATTGATCTTATGCTGTAGTTCTACGAAGAACTGGTCAAGCAGCATCTCGGTACCCATGTACTCCAACCGTTGCCTATAGTCAGCGAACCATACTTTTCGTCAGCGTTGCGTTGTTGCGTTGAATGATCCACTCAATGTTGAAATACAAGTTGTAGATGTGTCCCCATCCTTTCTTTGTTGTCCGCACTCCATACAAGGCCACTGGACGGTATCCGTTGAAGCGGATCTTTTTGAACGTTGCCACTTCATTTTTCGCCAAATTGTAGAAAGAAGTGACATCCTCCCCTGTTGAAGGTATTCACGTGGCCAATATGCTGGACCAAGTTGCAAAATAGCGATCAAGCATCATTGGGATAAGCTGTTGTCAGTAAACAGCACATGTCTCTGAGACTGATGGTATCCCAGAGTCTGAGCCGCATCCTGCATGTTGAGGGACAGAATCGTCTGGTGCCAGTTGCCTTGCTGCACTCTTTGCCTGGCATCTGATTGTCTTCCGTCACTAGCTGCATCAGGGTGCGCTGCGTTCCTTTCGTTTGGAACACCATGCTGAGCTTGTTGGATTTGTGCCGGATTCTAGTTGCAGGTGTTGCTGTAGTGGTCCCTTGGTCTCGTTGAGAAGGACGGCTATCTTGGTGTTAGTCCAGCGTCTGCTTCGTAGTTTACCAATTCAAACTCCCAGGTCGCAACTGCACTTGTACAGCCGTGTCTGTTACCGTTCGTGTTGCTGTCTCCACTTGTTCAAGGAGAGGCGGGTATCTTTTGTGGACCAGGCCCATGTATGCTGTTGAGTGTTGCAAAGTACTTCCGTTCTTCGAATGTTGCTATCAGTTGCTATCGTAGAGTGGTGGCCGTCGCTTGTATCTGTGAGGCGAGTACCTCTTCGGGTGGTTCCGCCACATGCTCCAGCTCCCAATGCACCAGCAGGGCACACTCCAGAGGGATCTAGACCGCCGACAAAAACACCACATCGAGCTCATCCCCTGAGGTTTCAGGATCAAGCTTCCTGCCTGTTGCCAGTGCTTGTGCTGGTCTTTGCTATGTGTTGTGCGTGTGTGCTTTGCTCTGTGTTGTATGGAGCTCACCTGGATGTTTCCAGGATCACTGCTCCGCTACCATGTAAGGCCCGACACGTGCTGTCTGTCTGTCCAGTGTTGTCTCTGTGCTTCTGTTGTGTGCGGACTTTGTTCCTTGAGCCAAAGCATGTTTGAACATTCTCCCTCGTTGGACTCATTGGGACTTTCTGTACATGGTGTTGTTTCACATCGCGTCGGTGGGTTCCTACATCGCACAGCTTCTCAAAACGAAGCCTTGGAATCGCTGAAATCACGTTTTTTGACCCGTGCCTTCAGGCTTGAGCTCCGTGCACGCTCCTTGCTCTCAGCCAGATGTTGAGAGCACAAGAAGTACTCGCGCCTCAAGGTGGAGACGTCCCAAACCCAGGAGGCTTGGCCAACTGGAGTATTTGGATGCTAGTCGAACACAAGCCCACATTGCTGGACCGGAAAAGGATCCCCTCCGAGGATTTTACACCGCTGGTTGCTAGCTCAACAACAACAACAACAACAACCTAAGAGAGGTTAAGTGACCTTATAGGACCCTACTGGGGTACCTATGGGATAGTCTATAGGGTCATTCAACCTCTGTTGGAACACCGGCCGACACGAAGCTCATGATCAACGACAATATACTCCCCTGGAACAATCATGGAAGGTTACAATAGGCCCCTGGAAGAACAAGTTTCAATACCAAACAGGTGGTTGTGCACTCCACTTCCCTGATTATTTCACCAAGTGTAGTTGGAGTGTCCATGATGGAAGTCTTTCCCTGAAGATCAAGACGGAACCTGAAACCGGACTTTCTCCGCCTGGAAGATGGAAGAAGTCTAAGCTTGACCTCTTGTCAATGGTGAGATTTAGAATCATGCACTGGTCCGGGTGCTTGATATTCGCTTTAACCACAAAAAATGGGATGAACACCATATCTAACAGAAGCGGAACTTCTCAAAGGGCCGTGAGCCCACCACACGAAACGTGGAACCGCTGAAGCGTGGAGTCGGAGACCTGGGGAGCGGTGTTTTGACCGTCTGCGGTCGACACATGTGGCGACCGCGCGGTGTTTTTCCGGTCCAAGACGCAACAAAGGTGTGTTCACCATGCACTGCAGGGTGGCCTGGAGAGCAAGAAGACACCGGTGTTCCAGCACCCGGCGCCCACAACAGGTCAAGGGCAAGCAGATTGGCTTTTGGAATCTCTCCAGGATCAGTCATCCTGGATGTCCAATGGAGGTCCATAAGTAATGGACTGGGTACCCATGATGACCCGTTAGATGATCCAGGTAGGAATTACAGTACCCATCTAACTGTTGGAAGACTACTCAGTTCTATGTTCTCTTTCCGAGAACATGCCTGGAGCGTCCCAGGTCTGTGTTTCGAGATACTTTCATCAAGAAGATTGAATTGCCCTGAAGGATCAATGTGATTCTTTCCTCAAAATGTAGCACTTCCTCCTCGCACCATGTCGAGGAAGTAATCTTCACTTGTATACCAGGGCCATGGTGCCCAAGCACCGAACCACGGGCATATGCACCACCTTGACAAGACCAGGGCTGAAATCACTTAGTCCGCCGAGGGCGCAAAAGCAACGAATGGGCGAAGACGAAACTTGATGAAAGCTGTGCTGTCGGTCCGATTTCGTCTGAGAAGAAGAAAACACCCAGACGGCTTGGATTCGGACGTTCATGAAGCAGGTGTTGCCCAGGTTCTGAAGACCTCTCAAGGGTGCGGAAACACATCCGCGCGTGTTCGATGCCGGAGTACGATGTTTGCCAACCGTCCAACCGCCAGAAGAGTCAATTCAATTCGCAAGCAGAACATTGGGAATGGGATACCTACTGGGATACCTTCAGTGGTGATCACGTACTTTCAAACTCATAGATTTGTGGACCCAAACACCGGCCAAGCAACACGTGAGAAGTGGGAAGCAACAATGCTTGAAGGTATGTTTCACAGCCGGTATGGTTTGCGTTTTCTCTCTCTCTCTCCTCTTCGCTACAGCAGTTGGTGAGCTAGGTTTAGTCATCGTTCGAACATGGCCATGCTTGACTCTTCGGCCATGTTTATTGCCTAGGACGTGTGCTTCGGACGTGTGACCTCGACAGGGGGACCTCTTGGGACGTGTGGGACCTTTCCGAAGACATGGAAGAGATTGGTCTCGGGTGAGGTCAGGTAGTTCTCAGCATGTCTCAGTTCTTTCCCCCCCAAAAGATCTTCTGACCCAAAAACGACAGGTCTCCCGTAGGACCTTATTGCAGCAGCTAGTGACAAAAGTGTTTATTTCAGGTCTTGAGGTTGGAAATCAACGACCTTTTGAACAAATCACCTTGATCATCCCTTTGTGGGTGTCCTGGAGAGCCGGTCCAGTCTAGTGCGTCACATCCGCATCGCCTGTAGCACCAGGGACGCCGGAAGTCGGCCTCAGATTGGGGGGATTGGAAGGTCATGGTCAGATGACAAGAAGCTGAGACAAACACATGAGGGGAACACCACTGAGAGCCGGGGACTTTGGAGAACAAGCATGACCAGCGCCACCGAAAGCTCCAAAGTTTGGGTTTCAAACTCAGAAACCCTGGATCTATCGGAACATCAGCCTTGAGTCATTTGAGTCCATGAAAAAGCCTGACTTTTGCCACAAACATGTGAACGGTCGAGTTTGAAGAGACTCATCGGTCAGGGCCAAGTGAAACTGACTTCTGATTGTTTGATGGCCAGTAAAGGTTGGCCATGGCACGAGAAGAAAGGTCTGTCACACAGCCGGAACCGCCAGGAGCGCCATATAGTTATCATAGTTCACGTCGCTTTCGGGAAGGAGATGCTCAAATATACCTAGCCGTTTTTGCTACCAAAACCCCTCGCAAAAAAGAAGTGAACATGATTGATTCTCACGCGGCATTTGTTGGAAGTCTTTTCCGATTCAAGGGCGACCGCCCATGCCAAGGGAGGGCGACCACTGCGACCACATCTCAAAACCACTTGGGAATCGTTTCACTTGTAACAAGAAGCTGTTTAGGTCTTTGGAAGCTTCTTAGTAACCAGATTCCTCTGCCCATTTCCCGAAGTTCTTCTCCAAACCACCACCGTTCTTCCGGGTCTTCCCGGTTCTTCCTCTCCGGTCGCTGCTGGAAGGACCCCAGGCGTCCCGGGCGACTCCGATTCCCGGTCCTTTGGGTCGACCTCGGGCGTCGAGTCGTCCGTCGAGTTGGGTGGTTTGGCTCGTCCCATCTAGCCGTGGAGAATTCAGAAGCACCCCGGGCACCCACAAGTCTCGGTACCCCGGACACCCTGTGATTCCTGGAAGAGATGATAGAAACTGGAAGACTGACTGGTAATTATGTTGGATACACCTATAGCTGGTGGGCACAGACCATGGACAGCTTGAAAGTCAAAAAAAAACTTAGCCCCTGCTGCTCATGCGTCCCCATCCTCTTGCTTGCTGGTCTTCGAGTGTGCTATTTTCACATCAGAAAATGTAGGTCCCGCACCACTGGGATTGAAAGACGTTCCTTTGAATAATGTACGTGCTTACCACAAGCGCAACATCTACAGAAAAGGTTTTCACCACCACCCAAACCAGGCTGGCAGGTGGAAAACCATTCAATTCTTCCATGGTGAATGCCTGCACCCGGTGGTTTAGTGGTCCCACCCGTCACCCATCTTGAGATCAACCTTTCTCCTGCAAAAGCAAACAAACGTCTCCACCAAGATGCTGTATGAGTACCCAACAGCGCCAGCCGCTGGGTATTGATCCACTCATCAGACTTGTAGACCGTGGAGTCAAAATGAACTTTCACCTGCCAAAGCGATCAAGGCACACCAAAGGGCTGCCGATCAACCAAAAACACCAGACAACAACGACTAGTGACTTTGGAAGACTTTGGATAGAGTCTAGATGGGCGTTTGATGGCTGAGTCATCTCAAGTGGTTGAAGGCATGGCACAGCTATTGCAAGAACAATTGCCAACAAATGCAACTGTGTAAATCAAAAATGTGATAACTATACTAGGAGTGCCCCCCTGGAGGTAGGAGGGTCTCCATTCACAGCCTCTGTAGGTCCTCGTATTTGATAACAACTCAAACCATGTGCCGTCGATCTTCCTTGAGTGGCCCTGACAGTAGTCTTCTCAGAACCGGGAATGTGCAAGTGAATGGGCAGCTCCTTAAGTAAGCCAGGCCAAATAGCTGTTCCATACATGTCCGTGTTTCACTGGTTAACAACACGACGTTGTGATCCTCCTCTTGGAGTTGTGCTTCCACTTCCGTCACCCATCTGCAACGAGTCCAAACCCGCTTGGAGGCGCTTGGAGGGAGCGGAGTCTGGCCCCGGATTCGTGGACCGGAGTCCTCCACTCTTTCCGCAGCCCTCCACTCTTCATACCTGCAACTACTTCCAAGGGACCTCAGGTAAACAGAGACCCCCAAAATAAGTAGTTGAGGGTATCACTCTTCCCCAATCTAAACCAATGGAAAGCGGGTGATATTCGGTCATTAAAGGGATGCCCCGACGCCCGTCGCCTGCGAGGGCGTGGAGCTGGTGGAGGTCTGTCGCAGAACCACATCCACGATGGTACCACGCCTGGAGTGGGTCCCCGAAAGGGGCCTGTGGGTTTGCTTCACACTGCTCCAGGGATACCACACATGAGTCACATGAGGAGAAAAAGAACCGCTTTGGGAACACCTGCTGTCTTGTGGTCTTGGAGGGTGTCTGCTTCGACACCAGGTCCATTTCTTCAGCACGTGAGGCTGGTCCAACTAAGAATGTCCAGATGTGCGTGGCCTCGAATTGGTTTGTTGGTTTGATGTGCCTTTCGCACTAGGCACCGGCACCGGCTAGACGGACCGAACGTGTGAAAACTGGAAAACCATCTAGATCTTCTAAGATCGTCTATCTCATGCCTCTGACATTCATACACTTCCAGCCAAAAGATGCTTCATTACAATAAACAAAAACAATATAATATATATATATATATGTTATGATATAGAGTAATGTCTGGCATGTGCTATGTCGGTTGTGGCCATTCTTGTACCAAATGCTCTGCAAATGAAATTCCCTCATACCATTTCTGCCAGATCCTGCTAGTTTCTTTCCAGTTGCAGCTCAGCTGGTTGCAGCTGCTTCGCATCTCTTTCTCACCCGGAACCTCTCCGCCGGTCACCCACCGAGGATGGACGGAGCCGGGCTTCCCGGCAACCATTGACCGGTCCCAGCGGCCTTGGCCTGGCGAGACACGGCGGGGTGGCCGACATCCGAAGGATCCAAAGACGGCGAGGAAGCGGACCGTGTCGGTCAGAGTCAGAGGAAGCACTTATTTAAATCTGATTCCGTCCAAGCCATGGAGCTCATGTTGAGCAGTGGAACTTTATTAAATGTAAATGTAAAAAGAAATGCATGTCATGATGAGTCGAAAGCAAAGTTGTTGAGGGTCTCTGTGAAAAGGCCATCCATCCGGAAGAGGCCAAAACCCGATGGTTCCATGACTTCTGGTCGTCATGGGCCAACGCTCTTCCACTCGCTTGGTGGAAGCCGAATATATCGATCCTGGGGTTTACCATGGACTAGCAGGATGGAGTGACAAATGGATTTGACATGATTTGACAGCTCTAGCAGCACGTGGTGACACTAGGATTTGACATGCAACAAGTTGCTCAGATGCTCAACAAGGGGTGTGGGTGTGGGCTGCTCACATCGAAGTCGCCGGTTCAACCTGTTGGGTTCGGTCCGGGATATTGACCAGGAAATAGACAGGGGCGAGTGGCTGAGGGTCTCCCTACTCAAATACAAATCCAAATAGGTCTCTTGATGATTCTTGGTGTCTCTTGGTCTGGCCACCCAGATCCCAAAAAGGATCCTCTTTCTAGGGCAGTTCATGCACGGAGGAGGCACCTGTGCGTTCATGAGATGAAATGGGCTACAGTCTTGATTAAAGTCAACCCAGTGGCAATGGCAGTGCCAAGTTGCAGCGAAGACAAGATTTTTTGTAGTACTCTGTCACTCGCTCTGCATGACTTTCCTCTATGAGCAATATATGTTTGTCACCTGACCCAAGTCCTTGGAAAAAGATATATATATATATAACCGACGATCCTTTGTCGACGCGGGAAACGGAGTCACAAAACGATTAAAATGGTTCCCAAAAGGTCCACTTTGACACCCTCTTTTCAGGTCCAGTCCTTCGGGGTTTTTGGTCCTGTAGGGATGTCCATCAATGATGTCCAACTGTGGGAAAATCAATAGAAATGAGAAGTGGATCTAGCTATAATGTTTGTTCACGACTAGGGTTATTCCCCACTGTAAACAAACAAACCAGCAGGTGCACCCCTATACATATCTGAATATGAGTGTCTCTAGACTCTAGATAGGGATGTGTGATTGATCGAGTTGTACCAAAATGAACGCCACTGGAAACCGATGTTTTCTCCAAAGAGATCGTCTCCGCACCTCAACCCGATCTCCCACTTCAAAGCCCTGGAAACCAAGCTCGGCCTAGGGCGGGGAAGACGGGGGAAGTGAGGAAGTGAGGAAATTGAAACATGTGGGAGTTGACCGCTTGTGGGTCTTGGTCCCCAACACCGCTCAAGTGGTCTCTGAAAGAAGTCATAAGCTCGAATAAACTTGGCGAAGGGTTTGCAAGGAGCATCATGCACATCATCTCTTAAGTCAACTGAAGACCATAAATGTGGACAATATGAGTCTCTATGAGGGAGGCGGCTCATTGTGGAACACACGATTAGACTCGTTTTGGAACACATCGACTTGTGTTGGATTCATTTTGAAACACATGCTTGGGATCAATTAATTTGGAACACGGACTCTAAAATACTGTGTCTCTCCATGTCTGCCTTCTCTAACCTCTAGGGGAACACCGAAGGATGCAAAAGGTATATTACGTTTGTATGGATCTTCTCTAAATTTCACCCTCAGGTAACTCATAAATGGTATGCGACATTGAACGAACAGCCTCCCTGCCCCTCTCTAACATTTAACCCTCGGACGGTTCACAAAAGGGATGCTATGTTAGAATGGATCCTTCCCTCTTGAAACATTTACCAACGGGAGGGGGTTACACAAGGTATTTTACATTTCCATGGCTCCTTTCTCCGTCACAAGAACCAAACAGAAAAAGTCCACCGTTCGGACTACCACGGAAAATAGAAACCTGAAAAGAAACCACTGACCCAGAACAAGAAGCTAACTTAGAAACCACATGTCAGAATTAAAAAACAAAAAAAAACTAGAACAAAATGCTAGAAGAATAGGAAGAAACCACATAAGATCTCCCGCGTTCCAAAACGAGCCTGCTCCCACGTTGCAAAACGAGGCGGTTCCCTATGGGCTAGCACTTCGTCGTACAATGCCTATGCCTATGCACATCCCGATCCCCCTTAGCTCGGCAAATGTAATGATGGACACCTCACCACCCCCAATACCCTCCATGGGCAACCAACACGGTAAAGTTCTTCGGCTTACATGATCGCAGAACACCAACCTCTCAAAAAAACATGGAAGAACATGGCACCACGCTCTCCCCAATGGCTATGTGGGGATCCTCCTCCAACGTCCAAACAGGAGGACCTCTCCTCCTCAAAACAGCTTTCATGGCCTGTTTCAGGTCTGTGGCCCCACAATTTCAAGGAACCTGTGGAGCCCACGAACACAGACATATCGACGTCCACCTTTGGACTGAAGACATCAGAAGATGTCATGATTTCATCATTTAGCCAACAGCCAACACGGTTGCTTTGTGTCCAAAACTGCAGTTTAAAAAAGAAATATAATAACAATAAATAATAAGTAGAAAAAACACTAAAACACATTCAAACCACCCCACCAAGAAATACCTGAGATCCAAGGGGGTGTCCCATTTTTTTGTTCGTCCCTTGATGTCTATTTCTTTCGGCGACCGCTCCTGGAAGGTCGACCCCAAATCGATGCCGGCCCGGTGGAGACAGCGCGGGGCCTCTTCGGTGGGCGCGTCTTCCACCTGGCTCCGGTCTCCGGTCCACCGCTGCGGTGCGTTTGGGGCATGGGCGGGGTGGGAAGAGGGCGATATTGGATGACCTAAGTGACCTAAGTGGGCTTGGGCTTTTGGGTGTCCATGCGTTCCCTTCTTTACAAGGGGGTCTCTAGATGAGCTACACACCCCGTTCCTGGAAGTGACCAAAACGTATAATTACAAAAACCATCACTGAGGAAGCACTCAGTATAGAGAGCACCCTGATGATTCTCAGATTCTCCATCATTCATTGATCTATCCCAAACAATTCCGCACTGGAACGCCTACCCACCTTGGGCCTTAAACCAGGATAAGTGTATACCAAGACCCTCCAAAAGATCCCCCCTGGAGGACCTTGGAGACAGGCAGATGGTGACCTGTGAAGTTGGGCGCTTGTATACTTATCATGTATTATCCCATGCTAGGTGCATACATGAGCATATAAGGGTCTGTTCACCGACCAGTGGTCCTGCCTCCGTGTCCCGGTCGCGCGGCCTGGGAAGGGCCAGACCGGGAAGGGGCTTCGGATAGAGAAATCTGGATCAAAAGAAATGATTGTTTTGAAAAAAATGGAAAACCACTTCATGTGTTATTGTCTGTTTTATGTGTTTGTGTTTAATTCATTTGTTTACGTAAGATTTCTGGATCAAAAGAAAATCATCAAGATGGTGGAAAGGCTTAGAGGGACAGCTCGCAAGGCTCGTGTGGGCTATCGCATGTGTGTTTAAACGCTTCATGGAAAAGAAATGGAAAAACAAGACTTTGTCATTCATGACGAGGGTTCTTGGACAACATCACAAAACAAATGTATTTACTGTATCAGTGCTGGTCTTTGACTGACTTGGTGCACTTGCTATGCAAAAGGTTCAAACCGTTTGGAACCTAATCAGAAGGGCATACAATCCCATCCGAAATGAGGTAGACGGTAGACGTGTACATGTGGATGTTGACGGGGGGCATGTGGATCTTCCGAACGCCTTTAGCTACTGTTCAATATGACAGACACCATGTTGGAAGGTTCCAGATCTGAACATGTACTCAAACTGCTGTGTGAAAGATGCAGGCGGACAAATCTTGAGATCCACTGGTCCGAATGCCTCGCGTTTAGCGCTTGCAATGTCTTGGAACATCCCTTTCAAAACACCAGCTTCCTGGAAAGTCCGGTGATCAGTTACTGCTTGGTGATGCTTGGTGGTTTCAACTCACAAACAAAAATGAATCAGTGGGTTCAATCATCCCGAGTTAAACAGAATGGAACCAATGCCCGGTTAGGAGTGATAGAATTTGAGTCTTCGAAGTGTGGCGCTTCGCCAGTCCAGTTTTGAACTTCACTTCGAAAATCCCCCGAACCTTCCACACCCCTCACGAAGAAGGAAAGGAAAGGAAAGCCTTCGTTGCTTCTCCAATACTAATCTGCACTGTTCACTGTAATATAGTGTTATAGTGTTATATATACAGTACATCCAAATTTCCAGTGTTGACTTCGAGCAAAAAACTGCCTTGCTGTTTTCAAGGCTTGGAAGTGTTCTTTACTCTTCTTTGGTAATGATAGTTAGCCCCAAAGTCTGCATGTGTTTTCGGTTTCTAGTTTCAGGCTGAAAACTGCATCCGTTTCTGCGTCTCGCCGCGTTCGTTGGACCGGCCAAGGGGCCACTCGCCGTCCTTCATGGTCTCCAGCAAGAAGGCGCCAGCATCCCAGCCCTGGAAGAGTCGACCCGGATGAGGAAGACACGGAGACACGGTAATCATAGGACGATCAACTGTTCAATCATCCCAAATCGTTTGCATAATGAAGCTTCCTCCAACCCAAAGAACCATATCATGGGGCCAGTGACCTTTGGGGCACATGGGGGTTTTCACATGGTTGCACAACATTCAAATCAGAGACATCCGTGTGATATAGGTCTAGGTTTAAAAAACAAGAGAAGTACGTAGCCCCAAAAAGAGCCATAGATTGAGTAATCTTAATGCAAAATATAAAACTATATGTATATTATATATATGCGTTCTACGAATATAGTATAGACAGGCAAAGCACAACATGTCCTGAACATGCTTCAAAGCCGACGTTCTGGTGTGTCTGACTATACTTTGATCCCTGTGAACTTCCCTATAGGTTACTACATCCATCTACATTCTTATAGTCAATCAACACATTTCCCTCATCTTCTACCCTGACAACCCCAAATCGATCACCAAACCATTCCCCTCCCTTCGGCGATTCGGCCTTGCCCTCTAAGAATTCGTCCATGGTCAGCAAGGGGTTTGGCACCAAGCGCCACTGCTCACCTCACGAGTGAAGAAAAGAGATTGATTTTCACAGCGGGAAAGGGCAACACAATCCTCTAATGTGGATTGAATACAACCCCCCAGATACATAGAAAAGTAAAGCTTACCATTCAGGTAGGGGGGTTCTGAATCAACGGGTTCATACTGGTTCCATTACCAGCTTGCAAAACGGACCGGACCTGCAGCTTTTGCCACAAGGAGTGGCTGAGAGAAATTGCGCACAGGGCAATACTCTGGACAAAAAGCACAAAATCATGAGACACAAATACAAAGTACAAAGAGAAACATACAAATCTTCAACAAAAACAATATGTCAAAGTCAAGTACCTAATATGCAATTCATGAGGCGACGCGACCATCGTGAGACCATCGGACTGTCGGGTCAAGGGTTGAGGAACTTGACCACAAACCTGGAACTGAACCCAGAATCTACTAATAACAAGAAGCTACGCACGGTGGAGGCCATTGCTATTAGGCTCATCTCTATTGGTAACAAGAAGCTACTAATTTGGTCAAAAGAATGTTATTGAAATTAAATAAACAAACATGAGATGTTATAGCATCCAATCTTGGCACTGTTTGAGAGGTTAGACTGAACTTCGATTTCCACTCCAAAAATGGGGAGAGGACATCCAAGAATCGGCTTCTGGCGACATGTGTTTCCGATCCGTCAGTTCTCAAGACTTCGCCGTTGCCCTTGAGATCCCGCCTTTGGATCGATGCCACAACCTGCTGCGATCCATGGGCTTCGACAGCTTCTCTGCCAGCATCAGCAGTGTCTGCAAGCACGACATGGACAGTCGAGGGACGGTCGAGTTGATGCTCAAACCATGGTGAAGCAAGAATTCATGCACCAGGGGATACCAAGTGGCAGGGCTTGTTCCCATCAGTTACAGCTCAAGTGAATAAAGGGACTGTTCGACGACGTTGATTCTTTCGACTGCATGATGGGCGACGAAAAGCACTCCTTACTTGGTCAGGTGGCCTGACAGCTGTGGCAAGCGCTGGGTGTTGCAGCGACACCGCGCCCGGGACGATGCCCCGACGGTGAAATGTCGTCACTCCAAGGCGGCAGCTCTCGCACCACGTGATAAACCCACGAAATGAGTTTTAACATGTTTAAACTGATCTCTATATATTACATTATATTTCTACACAGTCCTAGTCTCAAGTGGTTCTGCCGGATTTTCCTCGAAGGACTCTGTCTTTCTTTCACCTCTGTACTAGCTTTTCGCTGTCCGAAGAAGACTGAGTCGATTTCCTCGCGGTTGACGATGCAACGGTCCGGTCCACCTCTTGGAACAGAACAACGGTGCGAGCTGCCTGGTCCAAGGTGGATTGCTTGGAGATGAAGAAACGCCGGCCTCACGGGGCGTCCATGGGGCGTTTGGGTGGTGTAGCGGGCCCGTTTGGGGCTGAAGAAGTGGTCGTGGTCACATTCAACAAGACGAGACGACCTTTCCTGGTGGATTTGACCTCTCTCCCAAGAAAAGGTGGATGTGACATGCCATGTCTTCATTGTATATGATTAAACACCTCGCGAAAGAAAGAATCCTTTTGCTCGGGGAAAGAGATTACCGTTGGACTTGGGGGATTGTCAGGCCATGGGATTCTCGATGCCAATAACAAACAAAATCCTCCACCACCTGAAGCCACAAAACTCTGCAGACATAGCGGAGACTCACAAAACCAGATATACTGGATTATTAATGGTTACCATAGGTGCATGTTTTCCACACACGTCTCAGATGCTGTTCAGTGGCAAGCCAAAAAGAAACTCCTCCCCCAGGCTGTTTTTCAAAGTTCCCACAGACTCGGACGAGACCAGATCTGCAGGTCAAGCTGCACATTGTGGGAGACCGGGTGAGGGAAGCTTGGTGCCTGTATCACTAGTGGGTCGATCACTGTGGTCACTGTCGGTGTCAGCCGAGGCCATGGCTGAACTGCGGCAAAGGCTTCCCATCGTCTCCCGCCACGACCTGGAGGGCGCCGACGGCGCCCGCGTGACGCGGGGGAGGTGGTGATTTGGGAGGGATTTCATCGAGAAAAATGAAAGAACAAACAGAACATCTTGGAGGATCATGGCATGTCGTAGCATGTGGTATTCTTGAGCACGGTGATCTCCAGTTGTAATTTGTTTGGACTCGAAATGATTTCTTTGTTTGGAGTTCAGGGTCTGGGCGTCCTTCCTCAGAGCTTTATTTTGCTAGTCAGCCCCTACTCAGTGCATGACACCAACCTACTCGGAGAGGTCGCAAAAACCCTAAACCCTAAACCCTCTCTTCAAACGTATTGTGGCTTGGACAAGCTTCCTACGCATCTATCTTCAATTCGTAATTTACATTATATGCGAAATCTCCAGTTTGAGGTTTGTTCTGGACTGGAAGAAAAAACGTCCCTCACTGCTGCGCAGCGTGCCACAAGGACCAGCGCAGGATAAAGCTCCACCTGAGGAGGTGACTTCGGCTGAAGACCCGATGTCGTCTTACGAAAGGGCCCTTCTGGGAAGTTATACCGGCGACTCCAAAGAGATTAGGCAGGAATTCTTGGTGGAAACGTCTCAGTTCATTGTGTTCCTTGAATGCCGTGGTGGAAACGTCTATTACAGTAATATATTCCTACAGCCTCCAGCTGCTTGGGAATTTTGTTGCATGGGATCACCTACAAGTAAGAAGAGCTGCCATGTCACAAACTCTATTTGTTTGGAGTGATCGGGGATTGAGGGTGCAAGGGCAGTATGGCCATCCAAATATCCACATCAGCCACCAACCGATTCAGATTCGCTATCTCTGCGTTCTTTGCGCCGGCCTCCCTTGAAGATGACTTAAGATGCACAAATGAGTCAAGAGCTCGGAAGGTACAGAGTGTTCAACAGAATTCCTCCCATCTCCAGTCCAGGGATTCCTTCTGGGGTTAACAGGCACCTAGAAGGTAAGTGGATCTTTAACACATCTTGGATCCCTTTGGAGATGTGGCATGACCCTGTATTCTACAGTGAGCATCTGCATATTCCAAGCTCAAGGATTCTTTGCATCATTCACTGGTTTTGTCACACGACACTGGAAAACAACCTGTTAATTTCCTGCCGAACAGTCCTGTGTCACTGATTTTTTCATATAGGATCTACTCATTTCTACAAGTACATCCCCCTTGCTACCGACAGCGAACGTTGATACCCCGGACTTTAACTTATTAAAATCCTATGCTGCCAAGATGACATTTTAGTAATTGAATGGTGCCCAATGTGTGTTTCTCAATTTTCGGAAAGGGGGTTCCAACAAAATGCATGACCACCAACCTTCCCACAAGGCACCTAGGCACCCTGACCTCAAAATGGTGTTACATTCCCATGCCTCTAGGTGACTTGGTATCTTTACATTTTGAAGTGTTCTTTTTCTCAAGTGGGGACCTCAACTCCCGCAAGTTCAAAAGGCGCAAGCAAGGGGGGATCAAGTACCATCAACGCTCCGGATCTTCTCCTGCTCTCTCGTACTAAGATAACATGATCGCACCGCACAAGTCGACTCCGTTCCGAAGCTGGTTCCTCGACTCGGTCGGAACCGCGGTGTTCACTGTGAGTCCATCGGCTTCGTTGCCATTCTCCACATGAAAAAAAAGGGGGACACGGTGAGTGAACACTTCGGCCGCAGCGCGTCGCCTGCATCTGGCGATCACGGCCCATGCAAATCACCGTCCGAGGTAAGGCTGGACCACCGCCGTACCTGCCGCAGTAACTACTGCGCGCATGTCAGGCTCGGCTCGTCTGCTGTGCACAGTGTGCCTATGCTGCAAGTGTTGTAACTTGTTGTCTGGGTGGTGAGAGGGGTTATCCGGTGTCTGTTTCCACCTAGAGCCTTCTCATTCAGAAGACTGGCTCCTTTCGAGCGAGTTGGGCAAAGGAAAATCGAGATGACACCCTTATTTTTGCACACATCAACACACAGAAAATGGCTGTTGGCTGTTGTGATAGTCGAATATGTTTCAACTTCTGCAGGTCAAACGACCATGGTGGTTCCATGTCGAGTCGCGTCTTGAGTTCCATTCCGTCTACGACTCGATGTCACCCGTCCGACCCGACCACCTGTCCCTGTCCCTCCACATCCGCACGCATCCGCCAGCACTGAACCCCTCCTTCCCGCGATCGACCGCGTTTCGAACAGAACACGCGCAGCATTTCCGCGTCATTCGGACCATTCCACCAAGCGAAGCCACATCTCCTCGGGGATCAGCTCCTCAGACGCCCCAGCCCTAAAGGCATGAAACCCTCAGGAGGGTCCTACAGTGTCACAGAAGAGACCGGAGTTGTGCAAGTGGGACCCACCCTGCTCAGGCCGACGCGGGACCGCCGGAAAACAGCCAGGATGGTAGCAAGTTGATGCAAGTGATGCATCTGCTTTGAGGAAAGCGCAAGTTTGCTGCTTAAACTCAATGACCAATTAATGTTGGCTTTAAAAGAATCTAACGCTGTATGACCCTAGAGCCCTAAAGAGCTCTAGCTACTAGCTTGCAGGCTGAATCTAACTAGGCTTTCATTAGTAAGCTCACAAAAGACCAGCATCCAACTCAATCATGGAAGTGAAGCCCCTCCCTCGGCTGTTTGGTCTTCAGAGGAAGTCACCATGTTCGCTGAAAAGAGTAGGGACCCACTGGCACCTTTTTGAACTTCAGGACCACTTGGACTTGTTAGACTTGACCTTCTTGGCTCATCCATGCACATCCCATATGTTTATTCAGTGACCTCTCTTGACCAGCACACTGGCGGCACTTTGGTGGAGCCCCGTCCAAAAAATAACAGTTTAATAGCCGTAGCCTTCTCAAATTGCATGCCTTTGTCAAACACTGAAAAACCTGGTAGCCAAAAAACAAAGTCCGACTTCAGCTGCTGAGGATCAAAGTCCAAATGCTCCACCAAATTCATCTTCAGCTCGCCCTGCCAAGCAATCGTCGAGTCTTCCGTGCTTGGTCATGCTTTGAGAGGGGTCAGTGAAGTGACAGTCTGTCTTGAGTGGAAATAGGTGAGACCCATCATCAGCCTGTGTTTCACCACCTAATTGTTCATACTGCAGCACTAGATGTCTTTGGCTGGTGGTTTGACCCCACCCCCCGGCTAGTTCATTCAGCGGCCATTGACTGGTCAGTCCGTTGACTGGGCGGATGTTTGCCACAGAGTCGCCCTTCGCACTTTGGGCCAATATGATCAGTTGACGTCTATATAAGGCCTACAAATCGTACAAATGCTTACATGTTACATGTTCTTTTGAGACTTAGGTGTCCCACATCCGAATTGAAGTTGATCATGTTCAGCTGCAAGACAATCCATCTTCACTAAACAGTGATGGTTGACAAGAGTGAGATGAACATTGACCTGCTGTTGATTTCGTGCGCTACACTGGAGGAACACCAAGAGACTGCCACGGCGGAAGATCACAGCTTGATACTCCACTCTCTCTGAATCCCCGCACCAAAATAAGGCCACGGTGGGACACATGAACTCCCTTTAATTTGGACCCCCTGCCAGCCAGCCAGTGCTCCCACCCCACCAGCCTTGTGCTCCCCTTCCAAGTCGGAATTGTCAATCTCTGGAGGCCGTGCCGGCAGGCTTGACCCCAAAGCGCCTGAGTAAACGAACTTGGGCGAACTCTTGCGACGAATGGAGAACGTCAGGAACTCAGGAGGAGAATGTGAATGTGGCCATGGATGGCGCCACGGGCGTGTTCCAGCCGGCAATGTCAAGGAGAAGGGGATCAGAGGTCGACAAGCGATACAACTCGTAAGCTTCTCAACAATTGGAGAATTGCAGGCGGAATCTGCTCGGAAATCCTAGCCGAATTGGTACACTGTTGCGCGTGTGAGTGGTATTTTTCAACGGCCAATGGCTGCAAGCACAATGAGGCACCTGTTTCAAAGGAATTTCAAATGAATTGAATTGTTCTGGCTGCAAGGACAAACTCATTAGATCTGGTTGTGTCGTTTGGTGCTTTGGTGTGGCGGTGTTTCTGGGCTCCCACTTAGTCTACTTCTTAAGGGTATATGATGGTATATATGGTCAATTAGGATCAATGAACAGTGTTGTCTGTACATCAATGCGTTTCACTCGTTTCCTTGCCTTTAACTTTTGCTTTGCCGTGCCGTTCTTCATTGCTTCCGTGCACTTGGTGCCAAGACATGGACCCTTCTTCGTTGTCCTTCGACCATGACGTCCGACGGGTTACCCATGGACGTTCTTCGTCGCGCTTCTCCGGTCAAGCGACCCGCTCCGATGGGGTGAGGGTCGATACTTTCCCCCGAGGATGAGAGTGAGAATCGAAACCAATGAGACTGGAAGATGACGAAGTTTCACTCCATGTTTTTGTGCCGTGGTGCCATAGTTGAATGATTTCGAGTTATTTAGAAAAAAAAACAAGTGGTGGAACCGGTCAAACTCCTCCGGACATCCCGGGGCTTCGCACGGTCCCAGCGATCCTCATGACCTTCAGGTAGTTGTGAGGGCAAAGCTGTTAAGTAACATACATCAGAATCATGATGAACATCGATGGTGCCTGACTCCGTGGCTATGTGTGTGGCGTCTTCACATATGCTACAATGCTACCATCCAAAACCCACAGGCAACCTGCAGGCTCATGTGCCATGTTTTTGGAGCCATAGCCAAGCGAATTGGAAGGATATGAATTAGTTATGATTGGTTGGCCAAAGCGTTGCAGTTCGATGAACTCCCTTAGCCTGGTGTAGAAAGCCCCCAGATCCCCGTTGCAGTTCGATACACAACGACCCTCACTGCCCTTCACTCTCGTGAGTTGGACGTCCAGTTCAGTTTCGACGAACATGTTCTGCACTGGTTATCACAGGTTCATTCTCCCAAACAGTATGACGACCCCCAAAACCATGAGAGAGCACCCCAACCAACATGCTACCTCACAATATCCGTGTTAACCATGAGTTGAGATCATGGAGGAGATTTGAGGCATTACTATTACCCTCCCAGGGTTTCTATCCCCCGTTTGTTTGATGAACGTCGCCGGTCTTCCGACGAGCAGTCTCAGAACTGATTGACTAGCAGCGTCTTCATCAGTGATGTGCCTATCGTGCCTATTTGCACACATGTGCACACATGTGCACATAAACACCATCAGCAAAAGACACATGCACAATCGGCTGCCTGCTTCCTCACCAATACTCAAACGACAACTTTCGGGAATGATGAATACCCCTAATGTGGCTACCTATATTATATACTGATGATTGTAATCTAATCTCAAACACATACATATCGAACCCTACCACACCCGCAGAACCACCAGTGTTATCTCTATCTCGAATCCTGGGGCAGTGACTGATCACTCCATTGGTTCCGAAGAAGGGCAAGGAAACCTGAGGGCAACGGAGCACGAGCTTTGCCACCCCCGGCTATCGCGCCGGAACGGACCCCGCTCTTGGCCGTCTGCGATGGACAAAGGTCGGGTGCAAGTCATGAGAGTGCGAGAACGAGTGCATCTTCCGCTTGACTCCACCAGTTCACGTGTCGTCTACGCCTTCAGACATGCGAAAGTGGTCTGCCGGTTTGTCACGAGTGTGTCAGTGCTTCTGCGGGTTTCCAAGGGGACCTTTCCCTAGTCAGCCTGTCTTGAACCAGCAGTCTCAGAAGGAAAAGGTAATCTATCACAGCTCAAGCATGAAAACATTCGGCATGTTCAAAGGCCATCATGGAGCGCAACTGACCAAAGTTCCAACTCAAAGCGAGGACCCTTGATCTCAAGAAGCATCTTGGGCCACACTACGGCACCAGCACCTTGCTCTGAATAATCTGTTCTTCATATGCTGAAGTCAATGGAATTCACCAAGGCCAAGCAAATCCCAAAAGTTTTAGGTCTTTGCTCATGACAAACATTTGCTGGCCACCAGTGGTGTTCCCAGTCACTATAGCTGACTGCATTCAAAAGGAAGAGAAAGAACAAAACATGAATGCACTCTTCTACCATCTATCATATTTCTATGTAGGCTCCAAATCCTACCTAGTAGTGGGCCCCCCTACATCTCTACTTACTTCTCGCAATGACCTAGTAAAAATGCATTCCCTTCAGTCACTCAAAAAGTAACTTCTCCAGCTTGGCACCAGTTTCTAGCCTTCTTCAACGCACTTTCAATCGTTCTTCTCTTCGGAACGTGGAATGAATCATGCCAAGTTGGGAGCGAACGCTTTGAACTCCGAACGACCGAGGACCATGGGTATCTCCGGGTCCCCCGAACGCCCGAGTCTCCAGAGTGGCAACGTTCCCGATCTGTGCGACCAGCACGTCGCATGTTCAAGCGGAGTCGCGGAGGTCCAACAGTCTCCATTGGAAAAGAAACGAAAGACTCTTAATAGTCTTAATGTAATATTGCATAAATATAAGCTTTACTGGACCACACCAGGGATGGTTTCTCGAACATCTGGAACTTTCGTTTCAACGCAAACCAGGAGTTGCTGTTCGCAGCTGAAGGGACGCTGAAAGGTCGTGTTCGTCCAAGCAGTTCAGGACTGGTGCTCCATGCCAATAACATGAAATCACCGGAGCCCCACACTTGTGTTGGCTTGTCGAGTTGGGCAACACGAAAAACGTCGACTCCCACAGTCGGACGATCGATTGGAATGTACGGCCTCGGTGGATGGATCTTGACTCGTACGACCCTCCGGTGTTCTGGGCAGAAGGGGACAGCCCAAAGTAGGTATCTCAGGTGCAACCTGGAACTGTTCATCGATCCGAGCGTTTTCCTTCGTTCGGGGCCCACCTCGGCCCACCGACTCCACAGCATGCCTCGGCGCGACCAGTGACGCGGCTCATCGATCGATCCGGTCCGCGTGGGGAAAACCCTGTGGCGACCATGACCTCTTTGCGGAGCAGCGACCGGTCATCTAGCAGCGGATCTCGGTGAGTCCAAAAACCAGGGGGGCTTGTGGTTGGGGGTTGTGGGCTCGAACATGAAACTGACATGGAACTGAAACTGTTTTGGGTGGTAAAAACATGTAGAAACAATCTACTCATTTGGATTCATTTGGGTCAACGGTCAGGTTCCTTCAACTGTTTTGGGTGATCACGGGTGTAGAAAAATGGTCACAACCAACCTATCAAACCACCGACAAAAAACGCATCATAACAATAAATCCTAATTATAAATCATCAAACCTAACCACAACTAACAAATCAAAACAGCCTCATATCAATAAATCTTAACCATAAATCAGAACAACGAATTACAAAAACAACAGAACAAGCAGCAAGCACATATATAACCCAAAAAACAGAGCAACAATTCCCTTCTTACCAAATTAACTTCCAATAAATCAGAACTAATAACCATAACACGAATCAATAAGTCAGCTTTCACGTCTTACCAACCCCTACCCAAATCTGAGAGCCTACAACTTCAGGCAGGCCACCAACCTGCCACGGGCACAAATTCAACAATTCAAAGCTGCCAGATGACAAGCTGTTCCAACATGGCTTCAATGAAAATTTCATCATTGCACGCAAGCATTTTTTCCCCAGGACACAACTGCACGACGTGCCAACGCAGGCATGTGGTTTATCTACGTGCTGCAGACCATCAGCGAGCACCTACCCCAAAGTGCAAGGCTGATCAGGCCTCAGTAGTCCTTCCGCCCCCAGGAAATGAGATCTTTCGGATCAAAGAGCTCGGAAACCATGGAAGGATGTGCTCCATATTCTTTAAACGCTGAATAGACTAGATCCCAGCCTCTTCGATGTGCCTTCTCATCATCGTCAGATGACTCCGATGACTCCTCATCATTGTCAGCTGACTCCTCATCTAACTGCTCTCCTAAAGCCATGCGGAGGTCCTTCTTCGCGGCGGGCTTCGCCTTCACCTTTGGTTGCCTCACCGCAGCTTTTGCTCTTGCTTTCGCTTGCGAGGCCTTGGCTGCCTGCTCCTCCTTGGACAGCATCCCATACGGAACATGGTGTTTCTGATTTTGGCCTCCCTCACTGACCTCGACTACTGCTTTGGAAGGGTTCAGCTTGACAACTGTTCCATGCCGTGATTTTGTCTTCTGCTTGATGACGACTTTCTGGCCAACTGCGAAGGGCTGGCTCACCACCAGGCGCTTCGTCACCACCTTGTTGATCTCCTTGCGCGAACGCTCACAAACAAAGCGGCCATCTGGCAGCCGCAGAAACTTGCGGTCACCCACAAGCACTTCTTCTACGACGTCAAACTCTTGGCCAGGCCTGAAACTGTCATCAGTCTCGGATCCCAGCTTGGCAGCATGGAGGAGACGAACTTTCTTCTCGCCGACAATGACCCACCGATTCATTTGCTTTCAGTCGCGGATGAAGCACAGCCGACCCTCGGAAAGATGAAGCTTTATCGCTGCGAGTCCTGGATGGCTGGTAGGCTGGTAGATGTAAGAAGAATTTGGTGGGCCAATGGCATCTGGAAGTCCACAAGTTTTATGATTGGTGATCATACGCAAAAAGGATCAAAAGGTATGAACAGTCTGCGGCTCATGGACTGATGAAAGCATTAAGCTGTTCTACGTAAACGAACTCGAGCCCCAAAATGTGCAACTTCAAGAGTTGGACAGCCAAACACCAATGAAGCCATTGACAAAAAGTAAATCACAGCTCGGTACAAATCGCTTGAGTGCCAAAATGCTCTGCAAAAAAGTCAATGCTTCAAAACCTGCTTCCATGCTCTGGTTGAATCCCTTGCCAAACGTCAAACTTCGTAGTCTGTCTTCATCAAACCCCTGTCTCCACCCCTACCCATAGCGCACCTTAAACATCTTGATGACGACGTCCAAGAAGAGCAAAAACCAACAAGACAGAAAGAAGGCTATACATATATATAAAGGGGTTAAAGGGATTAAATAGCAATATAACGGATAAACATATAATATATACATATATATACTAATTCATTAAAGGGTAGTAATGCTCTCGTTTTACTGACCCACCCCAGAAGATGATGATGATGACTGTTGTTTGTTGCTTGTCGTTCTTTTTGTAGAATTCCAAACATAAAACTATTCCCAAAATTAAATTAGAGGGAATGATATATAATTATGATTGAGTGTGTTTCTTTATTTTCGTGGTTTTTGCTTGACAGAACCTCTTTGTGCTGGTCCAATGTGTCGTCCTGGCACTATGCTTTCACAATCCTTTTTGCATAATGGCTGTGTTTGAATACTTTACATGGAGAACCTGTCACCAAACTGTAGGTTCTTGTGGAAGGGATTAAATAGACCAGGTGCGATGTAACAGTTTCAATACTCTAGGAACCTTCAATAGTGGCACACATACATACACTATCATAACTACTATCATACACTCAAACACTATACTATACTTAAGACTTGCGACGACAGGCAACCACTGGAAATGTAGATATTTTTTTGTGAGGTCCTGAGTAAGGAACTCAGCAAGAAAATAGTGAACATAGGTTGGGGTGTTCGTGCAACATGTGGAAAAAAGAAACAATCAAAAAGTGATTGCGGAGACATAGGAAAGCAAAGCATGGACAGGAAAATAGTGAGCAAATAGCAAGGACATAGTGAGAAAATAGTGAGCATACTGACTGACATATTGTGAAACGCCTCCCGAAACGACACGTGACGTTTATATATTAGGTTTCGATTCTGGATTGCTTTTTGATCACATTTTGGTCGCCTTTTGTTTGCTTTCTTCTTGCTTTTGGTATCCAAATATTTCAATCACATCACCTTTGGATAGCTTCCTGCTCACCTTTCCGCTCACTGTCTTTTTTTGTCTCCTACCCTGCACTCTGAGATTGCTTTTCGTTTGCTCCAACTCCTACTCCGAAATCACTAAAAAAGATACTGTATGTTGGCCACCCTCAGCGGTTGGCTGGACTCCATCTCTTAACACTATACAGACATAGATTAAATTCCTTGCTGGGTGCCCACCAGACTTGAGGTGGTACTGCTTCAGTACGCGAGGTGAGAGGTGGTAGAAAGAGCTTGGCCGGTACTGAAGCGATGTAATTGTCCGTGAGGCACCAAGAGGCAAGCATCACTGGTTTGAATTCACCAGGAGGCTGTAGATCACCAATCTGATGAAATATTGCTCGACCAAAAAAGAAAAACGTCCAATATCGGGGCTGCAGCATGGCGGATCCGCCAGTTGCGCTATCAATTATTGCTGCACCAATATCGGAGAGTTCCTGCACAAGATCCTGTACAAGATAACGCAGTTCCAAATTTATTTGGGGATGAACATAGCACAAAATGCGCACGAGTTCCAGCTTCTTTTCCAGTTGCTCCCGGAGAGGGGAGCCTTCGATCCACAGGATGGATGCACTACATGTTGTTCCCAAAAGTGACACCTGTCCGACCCAAGCGGGCTAGTGTTCCACGTCAAAAGTGAGTAAATACCTGAGGTCTTGTGGTTCTGTCATTGGTACCCTGGTTGCGTGCTTTTCACGCACCAAAAGAAGACGCAAACGCCAAACATTGCTTCGAACCAAACGTAGACCGACCTAGAATTACTGGCTTCAGAAAAAAGAGTGGAATGGACCTTGGGATTCATTGGGATTGCTTCAAATAGACCTTGGCTGGTACCCTCCTGTCACTAATCTTTCAGAGACCACCGATTCACAAATCACAGTGATTCCCTGAGGCCCACACCCCGTCACGCGGCGCCGCGTGGGCTGCGTCCTTAGGTGGGAAGAGCAAACGACATTCTGTGGAATTCCATAGACTTTTTCTTGAAAACGCTTTTTCAAGGGATCACAACTTCCGAAGCCCGTCACATTTGCACCAGCTGTCCCACTCCCCGAACTCCAACCTGGGGGAATGGAGGGGCTAGAAATAACATATATAGTTCCTTAGGTCCTAGACCATCAGGAGCCCCCTTGGGTAGCTCCAACCCGGTTCCCTAGGCGATCTGCACACCGCATACCCATACCCGCGTGGCCGCATGGGTGGCTCGGAGATCTGCCAACCAGTTGGGTTAGCTGGGGGAAGTTTCTTTTGGTTACGAAAAGACAAGTTGCAAATGTTTCATCCACCTAAGGAATTGTGAGATATCCAGTCAGTCTTCACTTTAAAACAAGTCGTTGAAACAAGCCGTTCAGACAAAATCGTTCTGTAGTTCGTTTTATGCGGGTGACCGCAATAAACAATGTTTTGGCAACTGCCCAGTGTGGAGAACCTGATTGGCTGCCTGGTACCTCCAACGTCTGGGACAAGTTCAGTTCAGCTGTGCTTTTTCTTTCCGTTCGATTGCGTTTCTTGACCGCCTCTTAGTGTGTCTCAGAACAGGGAGGCCAAACTCTTGGATGTCTAAGGGAAAATTGTGCATAGATGTTTCACCACGTCCCTTGCATTCCCACACATATACACTCCCCAGCTCTACACTGACTCGACTGTGCCCTCATTAAATTCAACCACACCACACAAGCAAAGCCTGCCGAGTCCAAACGTGCATAAACATCATGTATATATATATGCACAAAAATATGAATGTGTAGATATGTATGCATATGGGGTTCAAGAGATTCTGATAAGCAAGATTCACTATAGTCTGATTGTGGTGGGGGGCCAAATGACTTCCAAGCTACACTCCGATGCAAGAAGATGGAATTGATGATCCCTCTTCCAAGTTGGAGAAGGGAATCGTCTGCTTCCATGGTTGTCGAGTTTCTCGCCGATGGAATTAATGCTCCATCTTTCGTTTGGATTCAAAAGGCAGCCGAGAAAGCATGCTTGACCAACTGCCTGAGATGCTGACCATCCAGTGTAGGACTTCCAGACTTGTAGCCACTTGTGGGAGATGCAGTACCTCATGGCCGCTGAGACTTGACCAGTACCTCGAGACCCGACAGAAAGATGTAAGAAATATTGGATGTACACCTTTGGATGTGGGGAGTTCCAGTGTTCAACCTCAAAGAACTCTAGAACTTCCCAAAGCAACAGTGGTTTGATCATTGTTGATGATCTCTGCAATTGAATCCACTCTAATGATCCAACAACCATGGAAGCGAACATGGCCTCTTGCTACCACTACTTTGCTCTGAACAGGCGCCTGTCCAAATCCAAGTTTGGACATATCAACTCATGTCCTCATGTAGCTTGCTTCGGCTCCCAGTCTACCTAATAAGGAAGGATCATGCCAGATAGAGACGATGTGAATATCCTCAAGACTTTCAAAAAGGGTTCCAATGACCCGCCCTCCGACCCCAAACTGAGTCAAATAAACACACCTGCCTTCTAACTGGGATGGAAGATGGATGGATGGATGGATGGAGGGAGGGAGGGAGGGAGGGACGGATGGAGGGAGGGAGGGAGGGAGGGTAGTTAGAAAAATACCTGTACAGTAGATAGATAGATCAACGGATAAATATGTGTTTGTATGTCCTTTTTGGACCACGACAAGCCGACCCGGGTCTCTTGGGCAATGTCTCTGGGTCTGGGCTTCCGGACCAGGTGCAACCCTCTTGAAGCACCGGATTCCGCAACATGATGTCCTGCCAAAGGGTGACAACCACCGAGAAACTCGGTTGCTGCTTCGGATTCAGATGGACCTGCAACATTCAGGACCAAACATACAAACCAGACACGTCGTGTGCACAGCATTTTCACCAAGAAACATAGCAAGGGAAGATGGACCGAGCAGCGTCCCGCCTCACACACGGCCCGTTCCCGCTGGGGTGCTGGAACCTCAGTGTCAAGCTATGACAACAAAATCATAGGGGTTGGTATTAAGCGGGTACCCCGGGGGTAGCGATTTTATAGTGCTAAAATGACTATGTTCTTAATGTTCTTATGTTCTCCCATTAAACATGGATGAACATGACGTTGACATGGATGAACTATCATCATCCCCTACACGATCCATGGAAAATAGAAAGGATGAACATGGACATTCTCAAGAAACATGACTGCAACATGTTCCTGCAAAACGGCTCGGTTCATCTGACTGCTGCCCGCCTCCTCGACGATTTTTCAGCAAATTTGTCAACGGCAGCGATGCAGAGAACTCCAGGCTCCAGACTAACTGAAAGGTGCAAAGCAGGTTGTTGAGGCCTCGGTGTGGTGAAAGAAGTCTGCACACTAAGATCCTTTGGAAGCAGGGAGAAGAACAAGAAAAACCGAAACATGCTCCCAACTGGACTTTCACCAACTCCAATGGGACTTCACGGGACAGATTTTTCTCGTGTGGCTCGGAGGGACCCGATAGTCGGTCATGGACCAGAGCCGCCGCAGACGAAACCGTCGACGTCAGATAGTTCAAGTGATATCACATATGATGCCATCACATATCATGACGTGATATATATATATAATACTATAAGTTATATAATATTTTAAGAATTCAATAGTTTTGCAAATGTTCAAGTGTTGAGAACAATAAGGCATTGCCGTTGCTGTTTACTTGACTCAAACTCACTTCGCTTTGAATGGACTGGGAGACAGACCGGCGGACAGATTGGAGGCTTTGAGGAAACTAGTTATGCAATTATACATGAATACATGTATATGTATGATATGTATATAGATGAATACATGTATGTATGATATGTACAAGATCAACAGGTTACAGTATGTCAAGCGACAAGCATATATTTTGGTTTTAGTGTGAGGCTCACCTCGGTTGCGCAACCAAATCCCCTGATCTGTTTGTCCATGCATAGTGTCATAGAAAAGAGTGATAGCTTCCCTTCAATACTGCATGTTCAACTGGAAGGAATGATCAACGAAACCCACATGTTGTGATGGCCATCCCAACTGCATCTGGTCTGGCAACATCCCGGACTGTCCAGCTTCAGAAGGGTCTTACCCGAGGCCCAGCAGACTGCTGCTGGCTGCAACGCGGCTGCAACGTGCTGGCGGTAGCCTAAAACGCACCACACCTGGAGGTTTCACCTAGATTCTCAACCAACATTTGCTATATTCAGCAGCTAAACATCGGAAAACAAGTGTTCACATTGAAGAACTCAATTCACATCATATCACATCATCATATTGTCTACTACCTTTACTTCACAAACATCCCATCCCATCTATGCGGAATCAAAATTCCCGGGCCCGGGCGGCTCTTCCTCTTGGTTTCGCCCACACCCCCTGAGCCCACGACTGTCCATGTTTCGCTGAGCCCACCTGAGTGGTCGCGGAGAGTCGGTGCGTTGGTTCTACGACTCGTTCTCCACCGACGAAACGCAGAGAAGACCGGTGGCTTGGTCTTCGTTGTTTTTTGAGAGTTCAGAGTGTTCTTCCGGTTCGGGAGTTGTGAAGATCAAAGCGGCAACAGCGTTGGAACATGGTTTTGGAGGTTAAGTCTGGGCCATTCCATTCCGCTCCTGGCCCGCAATGCGGGACCACTAAAAGGGTCCCATGAGTGCCACTACCCCGCAGGGTCTCAGGGCCAACAGCGGCACTATTGGCCCTTGGTGGTTCGGACCTTCTCACAAGTGAAGGTGTGCGTGTGTGTGTGTGTGTGACCTTTGGAATAAGAGGGGGGCTTTAGGTGTTCTTCCTGTTGTTCTGGAAGCACAAAACCATCCGCGCATTCCGCGCGATGGTCCAACAAAGCGGGTAAAGTACATGCGGATATGACTGTTGATTTCCATGACGTGCTTGAGTGTGTGAATGTTGGTGAGTAATTACACTCTTGTCTAGTTTTCAGGCTGTTTATATAGGTGAAACTTTAAGGTCGGCAGTCACGCGTTTTGAACTTGCAATCGTTGCTCGACGGTCGCCTTCTTCGTCGTGAGATTGGACTTCGAACCTGAACTTTAGTTGGAACTACTGTTCTCTTTTGCACTCGTTTTACCCAGGAACTGTTCACCTAAGCATTGGGGCAAGTTGCATTCAGACCGTACGTGCTTGATCCTGCATGTGGGAGTGGAGAACCAGCTATGCGACCAACAAGTTCATTGACTCCTCCATAGCCAGGGACACACGTCTCAACAGCCCCGGATCGATCAGTCCCAACACCTGACCGCTTCAACGCCGAAAGAAATCCTCCGGCCATGGGTTGTTCCAAGATGATCCCGTCTCTGCATCTGCGCAGATGGCTCATGGCTCAACGAATTTGAACAACTGAATTAACAGAATTTCACCCAAGGAATCCGTCTCCAGTGGAGCCCCTTTGAAGGAATCCGTCCCGTCCCCGGGCCCAACGCTTCCGGCCCCGGAAAAGGTCCGAATGGCCCTCCGTTTGGGACTGAGAGACAACAGCGAATCACGCGGTTCGTTCACTGAGGACGCTGCTCGTAGAAGCGGTCAAAGGAAAGTGGCTGAGAAGTGCTTCCCAGCAATTCCTGAACCCCACGAGGTGGTTGGGAAGGCGAGTGGTCACCAAAGCCTAAAGCCTAAATCCATGGGGGACTGGAAGAGTTCGGCAAAACGTGCTCAAGGAGCGCGGGTGGCTCATCAAATTATGGGTACATGTATTACTGTATTCGTTCAATACATGGATGGTTTGGAAAACCTCCATGAACAACAGAGTATTTTTGTGCGCTGACGCCACGTGAGATCCAAAGATCATCACAGATCCGGAAGTTCTACGAAAGCCGGTCCTGTAGCGATGGATTTTCTGTGGATCTTATTTGGTGCGTCTCGTTTTTTGGCCGGTAAAACCACATGTACGGTCCAAACGCACTCTGTAGCCCATGATAACACAAAGATCACAAGGCAGTTTGATGAGAAGCCCATGAGTAACCATTGCCCCTCCCATCTCCCTTTGTGAGCACACATGTGTCACTTGGATATGCTTGACGGTTGGTTTGACTATTCTTCATGCACTGCACCAAACGCCCAAATGTAAAAAAAAACTTCTTTGCCCTTCCCATATGGGTGTTGATCCAAATTCCTTTATCTGGGATCCGTCATTCTTAGCCAAAAAAAATACTTTAGCAAAACTTTTGCCTTCCTGCGTTTTATTTTTCAGCCACCTTCATGAGTCTACGCTTAGCCCTTTTTCTTGCGGCGCGCGCAAGGGTGGCCGTGCCGCGCGGGTGACGGTTTTTCTTGCGGCGCGGAACGCCACTCTCTGTGGCCGATGGCAGTGGCCGAACTCTGTGGCAGGTATTCCTTCAAATGTATCCAACAGTATGACAACTCCCAAACTCCCACCACACGTGTTCCTCCGCCACGTCTCCCGATATCATGGCCGACACAACAAAACGCTGATAAGAGGGAAAAACCAAAGGCTGTGGAAACATGTTTCAGAAGGGAGGAGTCTCCTGCTTGAGCTTGGAGATGCGAGACCGACTTCGAAGCTGAGCTTCCTGGCGAGGACGGCTCCGCTAAGAGATCTTTAAAAAAAATTGTCTGAACTGACTGAGAGAGTCTATTGCATGGTATCTGATGTATATATGTTTCAAATGATCATGCAATTTGGCAAAACATTGCAAAACTAGTCAAATCCAACCAAGGAGATCGGATTCGGATGGCATGGTACTTGAATGTAATTAAGGCACTGCCAGTGACCCTATCAGCACCAATGCTTCTGCGTTTCACGCCGATCAGCGGGCCAATGGGAGCACGAATATGCTTCAACGCTTGGGCCACCCAGATGTGTCTGCGCCGTCGCCGTCGCCGTCGTTCAGAAGCAAAGCTCATCCGAATTGGAAGACCGGACTGGTAGTCCCTAAGTGCCTACCATCCCCTCCTACAGGATCCTATAGGCACCTTTTGTTGGACAAACATCGCAAAAGAAGGCCTCGTCTACAAGTGGACCCCTGCAGCAATTCCATCTCGAGCTGGAGTCCCTGACTCACTTGAGATGGTGCATCTGGAAATGAACCCTTTCGCACACATGTCCTTTCCCCAAATCCTCACCAAATCTTTGCCTGGCGAAGATGTTCATCGGCCGGGAGATACTTCTCCTCCTCAATGACAGCTGCTCAAAAAGCCATAAAAATCCCTTTGACGACCCACCCGCGCATCCCCAACCAAAAGAACTTTCACACCATCAAATCCCACCAACCCTTTCCCCGAAACTTTGTACTCGGCGAGTTAAGACGTGAAAGCGTCGCAATTCGCTCATTGGCCGCTGGTGGCCAGAACTTCCCATTTCAGCCCTTCATGGTGACCAGAGCCATAAACCACGGATATCGCGTGGAGAAAAAAACACATGATGGAACAAGGACATGCCAGCAATTGCAGAAGACTGGGCTGTTTTGCTGGAGGGCTGCAGGGGGGTTGATATCGATGTGTGGCCGCGGGGCGCGGCACCGTGCCTCCCGCAAGGAATGCTCCACCAGTTGCTGCACTTCTAAGGCGCTTAGGAGGCCATCGTCGTTGGTGTCAAACATGTCGAAGCTGCGGCGCGGCGTCGGGGCTGGGATAGAGACGGGCACAGGTGAGGCTGTGGCCAGGTCATCTTACTATGCAGGTGAGAAGCCTTACAAGTACTAGCTGGTTTATGAGGTAGGTCATGGTTGGTGGACCATGTGCTTGGGTGGGTGGGTTGGTGGGTTGAGAATTGGCGAAAGGTGTTTGATTGATGCCTTTCGTACTCCCCACGAAGCAGATCACCCGGGAGACGGGTCACTGGCACCCCTGTGTCCCCCGACACAAAACGGATCTTCTCGTCGTCCGACGACATCAGCTGGCAACATAAGGCCAAGGCCTCAGCGAGCGAGGTGTACTGCAATTCGTGTGAAGAGAGAGTTTCATAAATGTCCAAATATGTCCAAGATATATATATATATATATACATCCAATACATGTTGGATTCATTGGCTCACTTTACTTGGATTGTTGGGCGCCCTACGTCTTTCTATGTCTTTCTTCTCCGTGGGAAACCTCCCCAGTTGGTTTGGGATGGCAGTCCTGCAGATTCGACCGGAGCCACTCAGTTAGTAAGCCTAGGCTGAAGACTACTGACTCAGTGGTCCAGTGGTCGAAGCATTGGGTTTGTGGTTGCCAATCAAGCGGTTGGAGGGGCGGTTGGTGGTTGATATTGGTGTTGCCAAAGAACAACAGGGATTGGATGGCTCCTTGCTCCTTCAAGAGTTGGCCTCCGCAGGCTGTTTGATAGCAATGTGCTCTGTTTCTCTTATCTTGTCTTGTGCTTTGTTCGAAAAGAGAGACCTGTCTTGGCTGGGCAACCCTATCTTAGCTCAGGAAAAAACATGAACACCAACACCAGATGGTATAAGTTTATCCTACGACATTCGCACCCCGTGGGCCTCTTTTACTGCCAGGCTCACCACATACCCCAGGATCAACTGTTTATCCTACAAAGGTTCGCTGGTGGGCAGTGCCACTTCCGTGGATCTTTGAGCTTGAGATTTGAAGGAACAGTGCGCCAGGAGAACAAAGGACGGCACGCCGGGGGTGACTGTGGTCAGCACAGTAACAACAGTGACTGCCTGTTCCTCACTATGTAATATTACTATAACTAAAACAGCACTTCAAAGATGGCGCAAATTGCTCGAAAGAGGAATTTGCAGCACCCACAGCCACAAAACATTGCCTGAGCGAAAGAAGGCCGGCCCAAATGCCAAAGGAACACAGTGAATCTAAAACGCATCAAAGTTTGACACAATAGCGGACTTGTAAATCAATGCGTCATGTCTTGACCAGCAAATTTGGCAGCAAACGCCATTGCTTCCCACTGCACAACCCGTCAATTTTGGCCAAGGCTTACCAAGAATCCAACGCCCTCAGTTGCTGGCAGCCAGCGCGTGAGCAAATCAACCCGAAAGTCAGAACGAAGAAACAGTCGTTGAATAATCGTTGCACTGAATGCGCAAATGAAATGAGTGCGCAAAGAACAGTAGATAGGAGGACCCTGTGGCCTGCGATGTGTACCATAAAGCGCCTGAAATTCACCATCTGCCTTGCCTGGTTCTTGCCTGAAGCGCTTCGGCTCCTATGACTCGCACATCATCTTCCAGGCTCCGTTTTTCCCCACCACCTTTTGCACAATTTGACCCCTGAAGGCATCCTGAAAAGGCGTCCAATCTCCAAATCTCTCTGCAAAGCTTCAGCAGTGGCATTCTTCGCTGCATCTCTGTTCAAGCCTGAAAGACTTGAAGAAGAGCTTGGTCAACATATATAGGCGAGGGATCTTCTTGGAGTAAAGAAGACAGCTTTCGAGAGCAAGTACTACAGTAGCATCTTCTTTCTGGATGTCGATGGCCATCTTGTAATAGTGCAGTAAGTAACTGTACCATCTTCTTTGCTCTCGAAGCTGTCTTCGTCTTCGTCTTTCCTCTCGTTGACAGAGCTCTTCTTTCGTCCTTCAGGGCCGATCTTCCCAGGAGCGGTGGTCAACACGACCTGAAGTACTACCGTGTCCAACAAGGTAAACGACCTGTACTACCTTGGCACTCATGGCACGACCTGTAGCTGCTACAATCTGCGACAACTTGGGCTACTCTCATGCATTGCCTGAAATTCATGTGTGTCGACCATATTTTGTCCTGGCATTTTCTATTTCCTTGAAGGTGGTGCACTTTCCCTCCGTGCCAGACCTGCCTGTTTGGGGCAGCAGGGTCTGAGATGGTCCGGGACATGCATTTCAAGCAGTCAACAAAAATGTGTGAACGTACTTGAACTACATGCGAAGCAACGCTCACAAAAGCTCACAGCTTCAGCAAAAGTTCATTCCAGCTAGCGAGGTCCAAAGTAACATCTGCAGGAAGGTGAAAGGGTTTCTTGCCAGGAATGTACGTGTCTGCAATGAGATCGTGCGGAGATACTGTGGCCAAACTGTCGCATTGTGCCTGTTTGAGAAGATGGGTCTGCAGAATTGTTTTACATCTACATACACTTTATATGTGTGTATATCGTGTGTATAAGGTTTGTTGAGCAACAGTCAACATGAGATATCCAGTTTGATGCAAACGAGTGCTTAGATCAGTTTCAGTATGTTATGATCAGTTCATCTGAATCAATCTTTACTGCAGCATATTCCAGCTGCACGCTCAAACCCCCCGTTTTTCACTCCAAAAGCTAAACCCGACTGTCGATACCTCCCCCTGCAAAGAACTTGTTCAACTGTACAACTGTACCACTGCAGGGCGCAGGCAAAAGTCAAGTCAAGCAAGGTCCCAAGAAGCCAACGGCCCGAAGGTCAAAAGACATTGCATGAATTTGCATGGCTCAAGTTTATTTGAATGCAACCTTCTTGCACTCACCACGCACGGTGTACTGGAGTGTCTTCCTGTCCGCATGGCCCCAACATGCACGTTCTGCACAGTTGGCGATGTCACACAAGGCGCCTTGGTTGTTTCCTCGCAAGACGCATTTTGCAGCTGCATGGAGGTACATGCCATTCACCACCCATTCAGGCACTTCCCCTGAAGTGGCGCCATCCTTTTCCAAATTCTCTAAGAAGGCCTCATCCACCAGGGACTCGTTCTTCAGGTCATCCCAGGATAGTCTAAAGTAATTGGGGACGAGTGTTTCCAAATGCTTGCACCATTGGTTGGAGACTTCTTCAAGGAAGGTGAAATTCTGGACAACCTCAGCACGTGGCAAGTCGTACCAGTTATTCACGTAACAGTACAAGTCATCCAATGGGTAGAAGTGATCACGAATAACCAGGGTCCGGCCGTCAAAAAGCCTCAGGGTAAACGGCGTCGACCAAGAACTGTTCAGGATCTGAGCATACATGGGCTCAAACACCAAGGCAAAGTTGTTAACATTGCGAATGCGGCGAGCAATGGCACACTCACTCGCCCAATTTCCGAGACCACCAAACACGCACCAGCCATCTTGCTCATAACGAGTTGACACTTCCAGGATTGGATCTGACTCATCTGTTTCTGTGAGTTCCTCTTTGGGAACGCACACACCGGTCAGTGTTTCGTTGTGCTTCACCCTACTCCTGAGGCCACCCCGTGCCGGCTCCGCGCAGGACGAAATGGCGAGAAGCAGCGCGAACAGCGCGGGACCCAGCACCATGGGTTCGGGTGGATGCGTAGGACAAGAGCGAAAGTTGAGCCAAGGTTCAGCTGTTTGGAGAGCTACTGGATGGATAGGTATGGAATGCGTGCAGTGGCACAGATCTTCCAGCATTTGGCTGGTTTGGAGAACTTTGCGATGAACTTCATCCATGTTCATTCAGCAGAAATCCCAAGATCCGCCTTTGTCAAAGGACATTTGCAAAAACGGTTGTTTCTATGTTGCTTTCATAGTTCAAAAATATGTCCACAATAGTTATAGAATAGCCTATTCATAGTCTAGTTCGCATCTTTGTGTGAATTTGTTGGGTGCTCCTTAGCAGGGCCTTATTAACAGGCTTAGCACCGTGTATAAGGCTAAGGGGTCTATCAAAACACACCCCGACACCGAGAATGTGGGTAGTAAGCATGTCCCCTGCGAAAGCTTTCATGATTTGAGCCATCTACCTGGACCCAATCACCGGAGCATCGTGGGCACACCCTACCAATGGAGGGAAGTTCAGCTCTCCGCGCTGCACAAGTCTTAGACGTTTTGAAACATCTTTCCGGATCTGTGAAACAACCGATGTGCATCCCCCTTGGAATTACGTGGGGGGGGGGGTACACCGATTTTGGAGTGGAAATACCAAGGGGGATAGATGTGCTAGGTCCTAGGTTTTCTTGGGGCTTAAAGGTCTGATCGCCTATCATTGAACAGCGACCCTTGGATGAGAAAGACTCCATGCAAAGAAAACCACTTGGGGATTAGCTCGCCAGGAAATCCTCATCGTGGTCTATGAAACCTCTTTGAACATCGAAAAACCTGGCCTCATGTCATGATACCCTTCTCTCATCGATTTCACAGCTGGCCTTTTTACGTCGCTGTTTACACCGTCGACCTCTCTTCGACCCATCCCGGCTCCCCGACGCAGCAGAACTCCTTGAAGTTCCTGGCTCGGGGGCATCAATCGGCCAAGCGAATCGGCTGGGTGAGATCCGATTCAGATCGGGGTCCGTCCCTTTTCTAACCCCCGGGGTGTCTTCTGGGTGTCCCTGGGTGCCGGGAGGGCTTTGTTGAGGTGGGAAGGTGGTGCTCGGACTCCAACAAGGAAGATGACGGACACCCAGCGACCATACATTCTAGATCATTCTAGGACGCCGGTGACGGGTCACCGGTTCAAAAGAGCCAGTCAAAAGGTGATGACATGTCCACCATCTTCGAATCCCGTGACTCGTCGAAACTTCAAGGAGCTCCCAGGTCAACTTCCAATGTTCGCTATGTGCCGCGTGGGTTGTTTTGCCAGGCGTTGTAGCAGGATGTTCATGAATAGTCTGACAAGTATGGATGAGTTTACCAAGGGTCCAGGCATCTTTTGTAGCTTGAGAGATGAGAGATCTACTGTATCTAAAAATCCAGGTTCAAATAGGTTCAAAGCAAATTAGGATTCAATCCCTTTTGCTTGAACCTCATGTGTGTTTCCTCTCCAGATCTCCCAGCAACTCCACAATAGATTGCACTCAATCTGTGAGACCTGTCTTCAATTGGACCCCAGATATCTTTCCTCTACCACCCACCCAAGGTGCAGCTTTTACCCGTCTCGCTCTGGGAGTCCCAAACAGCTTCCCAGAGCCATCGGTGTCGAACATGCGGAAGGCGCTTTGGGACACGCTGTCCGGCATGTCCTGCCAGGCTCCACATCCCCGGACCGGTGCCCCGGACGGGTGCCCTGACGGGTGCGTCGCTTCGGTGCAACAAGTTCCTTTGTGCCGTGCATCTTCGGTGCGTTTGATGCCGCAAAGTCGGATGACATCATGGATCTTCAGTGGAGTCTTCTGAGGTGGGTGACATTTGAGTCTTTTTGGGTCATCTGATATGAAACGACTGCGGTGTCTCAGTCCACTTAGCTTGGACCCATCTGCTTGATAGAAAAGGAAGGTTGGCAGGTGCCCTTTGTATCTTGAAGTTCATTGATCTTCTTAAAAGAAAGGATGGTGTGGAAGTGTGATTGGATGAACCTGCCCAAATTGAATGGTCCAAAATCATGAGTGGTCATAATAACATAATACTCATAAATTACTACTCTGACTCAGTCACCCCTGGCCTTGGTGTTCGGGCTAGGGAACTACACTGGAATTACACAATCATTACACTGGTGTTGATGCACACTCTGCTCTTGGATTATCAACACCTGGTGAGGTCACGTCCTGGAGCTCGGCGAAAAGGCTATAGAAGCCCTTCCTGAGTTGTCGAGAGCTGAGAAGGATAAGGGACCTTAATCAACAACACAAGCGAAAAAAACTGGAACCGGAAAGGGCGGCGTCCAGTGGAAAAAAGTCCAAGAACTTATTTCAAACAAGCCCAGGCTTCTTGTCAAGCTCCTCTTCTCCTTCTCCAGTCGCCTGATACGAGGTGTTGGGTTCTTCATGGTTCTTCTACATTGATTCCGGCAGAAACTTCTTAACAGTCGACGTGCGGCCTTGTCGCACTGAATTCTGTTCATACCTGGACACTTTGAGGCACCAAAAACACACGCACGAAGTCCTGCCCCTGGGCCACTGGGCTCCCACTGGGAGGCACGCGTGACTTTGTATAGGCTGTCGACCGCGGACCCATTCAAGTATACTGAGACGCCCGCCCCGTGCTTTGAAACCGGGCAGAGCTGCTTTTTCAGAGACTTCATGTCAATGTACTTCATGTTCTCCAGTCGATTCGTTTGGAGACTTGGCGTGGCCTCTAAGAACTTCTTCCGCAAGAACTGGATGTGCGAAGGGGCCCAACCTGAACGAAGGGACCCATCCCAAGTGAATAGACTGGCTATGACTGGCTATGACTGGTTTAGTTTAGGTGTCAGACTGTTTAAGATGCCACATGCCTTGCTCCTGAAAAACATGCTGCTTGTCTATGCTCTTCAACAAACCACGGAACCATGGTGCTTCTCTTTTTCACCGGAACCAAGACATCGACTGCAAGGACCACCCGGAACCAGTGTCACCGGAACGAGACAGAGCCAACGAATGAGACCGGTGCCTAACTGTTAATCGGAGAGGGCGGCATGGCCATCTGAACGCCCACAGGGCGTTGGGGCCCACGACGTCGGTGGAACATCCAAGCCAAACAACTCTTCCGGACCACCTGACGAAAGCCCCACAACGGTGTGGCCCATTGTTATCTTGAAACCTTCCCAAGTGGGAGAGGTCTTTCTTTCTCCAAGCGACATGTCAGCGGAAAAAAAGAAGGCTGACATCTTCTTCTTAGGGCCAAGCGATCTAGCAGCAGGTTCATGGTATCGAAGTACCAGTCCTCCCCCAGCCTCGGCGTTTGTGTTTACTTTTTCGGTGGTTGCCCACCAAGCGGAGCTCTTGGGCACTCCAGGTCCTGTCAACCCAAAGACCCTCCGTCCCTGACTTCGGGAGTTGAGGGCTGGCTTCGGTACTACGAGAGCTGCGACCGATGGAGCCAAATCTTGAGGGTGGAAGTAAGTAGAAAGGAGTCTGGCAAGATCATCTATGTTTCGAAGGAAGAACTATGGGCGCGCCTGACCACTTCTTAGATTAGACCAGAATTAGACCACTTGACAACACCCAATCAAATGTAACTTGGATTGTTGCCCATCCCTCAATGTATATGATAGTGTAATGAAAGCAAACTGCACACATGCCTTGAGCAAATCAAGTTCAGCTGTGCACATGCCACAGTCTGTCATAGTAAACTCCAAATCCAAAGGACAATTGCAGACAAGTAGAAGAATCATCACCAAAACACCTAATGTCTTTCGACCCAACAAACCATGTCAAAAACACTTCACAAGGCTTGCGGCTTGCATTTGATGTTGGTTTGGTCCCATTGCACACCACAGGGCACTCGCCACACCCACCGGACACCTACCGGTGGGTCGGGCTCTCCAGATTCTGAGGCCCCAGCCCATCATTGGGCCGGGAGGAGGTCAAGAAGCTTCGAAACGTCAACGTCGGCTGCAGCCTCCGGAGGGAACCCGTCCAAAGATGGCAGCTCAAAGAGTGATTCGTTGCCGCATTTGGGGCCGTCTTGGTGGGTTGTCACCAAAAAGAATCTCGGGAAAGACTCGAGCCGTGTGGACCAACTATGGGTGGGGTCCAAAACACGGCTGGCGGCCTGCCTGGGTGTGCTTGTACAGGTCCCCATGGCCACCCTGAGCGAGGCTGAGCTCGGTGGAGCACGGTCGGCTCTGGTCATCCATGTCCCGAAAGGACAGGCCATGGTCACAACCCAAGGCATGTTCATGACCCAGGCATTGGAAAGAATTGAGGCATGGCCACACATGGCCTGAATGGAGAGATTGAGAAGATCCTTGTCCACTTATAGTTTCTGCCAGTTTCTGAACTGAGGCAGCAATTCTCATCATCCCATGGGTAGATGATGTAAATGTCTAGCCTTCCAGTTGCACTTTTGGCCTCCCATTCTTCGTCCCCAGCTGCCAGCGTAGCTGACCTCTCCATGCACCCAAAACCACGGACCTTGCGGACACGCCGAGGGCACGCCTCAGCACGGTGAAACAAGCGTCGGCCACCTTGCCCTTTTGTTCACCCTCAACTTCTGGGAGAAAAGAATTGAGAGGATAGCAAAAATAACATAGAACTAAGAACAAAACATTAAAAAGAAACAGTTTGTTGTGCTTGTTCTATATATGCTTTAAAACGAACTATTTTCGTGGGTTGTTTTGGACTTCTTTTTCATGTCTTTTTTCAATGGTTCCATGTCACGCTGTCACAGTGGTGTTTGAGAATGCCTCTTCACTAGCGAGGTCAACTGTCCAATCGCCCAAGCCATTGGAGATGACAAAGAGTGGCGAACTGGGGATGTCCTCAGACTCGTGGACACCATATGGACCTCTGGGTCGAAGGGTGTCTGGGGTTTGGAAGCAGCTCCTTCGCCGTTCAAATCCATTGGAAGGAAGCCTGGCTTCTGGTTTCGCTGGAACTGGACGGATGGCTGTCTTAAGTGAGCCAATAATATATCTCAAGAAGTCAAAGAATGGCAGTGGATCAAATATCAGCCAATTTCAATGCGAAAGGAAGAATGACGACGACCTGTGGCCGAACAACATGTAAAACACGGTTTGCTGAAGGCCTCTGGAAGGCCTCCGGCGGCCTCGTTGAGGCTCCCTGCCATCTCTGGGGTGAACCCCCTCACGGGCTCAACCAACTATTGAGACTTCGAGCCGAAACCAAGAAGCGGACAGCAACACTCATTTTGTTGATGGAGGAATGTCCATGTCAGATGATATGCAAATATTTTCTTCCGGTGGACGAAGCAGATTCTCACCTGCGAGTTGCCAGTGATTCTGGGCGAAACAAGTGCCGTCGCCCCCAACAATGCTGACCCTTTGGGAATCACGGCCGTCGTATGGTTATTTGTTTTTTCATGAAATGATATGCAAATGATACATATTATCTTATACATACATATTTACAATATTTGTATATGTTAGTGTACATATCATATTATGTTTTTCATCGCAAGTGGCTGGATTGTCCTCTGCTGACAAAATCCCAAAGTTGCCAAAAAAGAATAAGGGAAACCTAGGATCATGTTCTTGGTCAGGCCACCAATTGCGGTGCGTGTCAATCATCCTCGCCAGGTGTTCAAGTCGCACAATGATGGTTTCACTATGTTTCACTATATCGATCTTGCCAAACCTCGAACGAACACCTGGCATCTCATGCTTAATATTGATCTAAGCCACACTTCGGACAAGCATGTCTTCGTCATCTTTTGACCCGGTCTCTTCAACACTCTCATGGTGCCGCAGCGGGAGACAGGACCGGCGCAGCGGCTGGCGCTGGGGCCGGCACGGCCTGGACCCATGAGATTTTGACGCCCAAGCGTCGACATCTTCTGCGAGGGGTGTCCATGTCCTCATCAACCGGTGCCATGGGTATCCATGGGTGACATCCACCCCATCCGCGTTGGCACCTTTTAGGGGTGGGGTGCACTGCGAGGGTTGGAATGGACTTTCAGAGACTTCGAGTGGCGTGGAACGTGAAAGCTTGTCATGAAGCCGAAGGTAACCCCAAGATGGCCGTGAGGATTTTAAACATTTCCGTTGACTTTTTTCTATTTGTTCCGTATTTGTTCCGTTTGGTCTCCACCGAGTTGAAGGACCAAACGCTGTCTTGCCAAACGCTGTTTTCGCTTCTCGGGAGTTCCCGTTGCAACAGCTCGCCGTCTTCGACGCATGTCCGGAGCTTCCAAAGAAAAGGAGTGGCAGTGCATTGTTCTACCATGTAACAAAAGGTCATGTAGACTCTTGATTACTACACCCACCCCATGTGTATTGATTTGAGCCTCTTCATATGAAAAGGGTTCTTAATCAAGAGCCTACATTGTGCCCATGGTCTGACCAGGGGACCTGCATACACCTTCTACTTCCCACTCAAACTGCACCTTGTCTCAGGTATCTGGCACATTGACTCTGCTTGGGCAGAGGTCTCCCACCAGACTTTCTCCCCCTCTCCGAGCCCTCTCCCAACCTCAGAGGGTGCTAAGCTCGCCAGGCCTCAAGCACGTCGGGCCGGTTTTCATGCTTAGTAGATCACAAAAGCGAAACCACAAAACACACCTCAAGCAGTCACTCGTATTGAGCCCTTTTCGAGTCTAATTAAAAAATATTGACGTACAGTAAATGATGTATTCACCGTCCCTTGTCGTGTTGTGGGTAGATGTTTTTCCATCTTTTCTCTATTCGTTTATTGCTTGAGATGCGAAACACGGCCCCACAGAACCGACAGAACCCACGCCTCGAGACACCACTGTCGCACCCACCGGCACCTGCTGTGAGGACAAGCGGCTCACGGGATGACATGCACAACTCAGCAGCCGGCCCCCCCAGCAGCCGGTCTTGGCTCTCGTGGGTTGCGAAAGGGGCCTTCCATCTACACATCCTCTAAGCCTATAAAGGCGAGTTCCTGATCAATGAGAAAACCCAGGTTTGAACCCACGCCAGTGAAACTCCCACGTGTGGAAAAATCGACTTGGTCAATACAAGCTCTTCAAACCGACATGTGCGGGTGACTGCGTTCGGAACTGGAGAAGGGAAACCTCAGCCTTCCCATTGCAGTTGGCCTTCAACCCCCTTGCCGTCAATGAGGTGATGCTGCTTGAAGTGCAGTCCTGGCACCCAACAAATGGAATGAAATGTTTCGGACAAAAATGAGTCATGTTGGAAAACGTGTAGAAAGGGAAACCCAACCAAAACATCAGACCGAATGTCGACCTTTGATGAATACGGTCATCATCGTTCGTCACATCATGGGACTGGAAAAGTGCTCATCCGCATGGAGGAGCCCGATGCGACAGGGTCACATCGGGTTCTGGTTACAAGGTGTTTACAGCTTTGTTACCGATTTCAAGAACGTTTGGGTTTTGCATCAAATCATTCCAATTCCGCAACGCAGCAGCAGCAGCAGCCCACAAGAAACGGCACACAAGAAGCAGCACACAAGAAGCAGCACACAAGCAGCAGCAGCGTTTTATTAACTTTTACTGTGCACCCTGTCCGCCGTCTCCTCCTCCTTCTCCCGCCTCGTCCTTACCAAGTCACTCTCACCAACTCATCTCATACCAACTCATTTCAAATCAACTCAACTCACACCGACTCATCTCGCACAAACAACTCCCTTCAGCTCACTCACTTCCACTCACCCACTTACACTCACTCACTCGCTCGCTCACTCACTCACGCACATTCACTTGCGCTCCGCTTGGTCCTCCTGCGTGTCCCTGTGCTTTGCTCGCTATTAGCATTAAGGGGATGGTTCTGAGCACTGGAGTTGGCGGCTGGCCTTCTGCCCTTGCGTTTCCAGTGTTGCTCGCTTTGGGCGAACAAATGCTCCCTCACAAAACTGCCGAAGCTCTGACTTGATTTGTGTCACGGCTACGTTTATTGGAATGTCTACAGTAAAAGGACACCCCCGTATGAGGTGCGTGGCACACTTGTCTCAAATCAATTACAGAAGTCAACCTTATCTAAATTTGAAGGAGTAAATGCACTTCTTAGTTTAGGGGCCACTCCGTGAAGCGGCGGCTTGGCTGGGGCTGGCACAGTGGCACGATTGTTGAGGGCTGCAGCTGAATACTATGCTCGAAGCAGAGCCTCTGGGCCAAACATTAGCGTGCACATGCGAGAGACAAAGGTTCCCCACTGGGTTCCCCATGCTGTGGCGAGCCAGGTCATTTGGCTTTGTCCAAAGCCTCCCAAGTGCAAGCATTGTGGCAAGTCAGGTCACAGTGCAGCGGACTGCTGGCAGAAGCATCCAGAGAGGAAACCTTTTCAAAGCCAAAGGTGCAACCTACAGACCAGAAGGAGCCTAAAGGCAAAGGTCGCAGCAAGGGTGGCCGTGGAAAGGGCAAGAGAGGTGAGGTCCGTGAGGTTCAGGATGAAGAGGGTGACTGGGACGAAGAGTGGTTTGAAGAAGACAATGAAGAGCCTGAGACTGAAGAGCCAGGAGAGAAGGCAATGGTTGTCAAGGCGCAACCTGCGAAAGTTGATCCAGTGACTGTGAGTCCAGAGGTAGGTCTTTCTTCTTCCGCTGAGGGTCCTGCAGTGCACAGTGTTTCACACCCTTTAGAGTTCATCCTGAGCACCACGGGTTTGGGTTTAGAGCTTAAATCCAGTTGGTTGGTAGATAGTGGGGCTACTGTCACATTGTAGGAGAAGACTGGTTGAACCTGTACCATGTCAAAAACTGGTATGGAGGCCAGACATTAGTTCTCAGGGGTGCTGGAGATCACATTCTCCCCACCTCAGGCATGGTAGATTTAGAATTCATGTTAGTCAAAGTTCCAGTAGTGATGAAGAGGGCAGTGGTAATAGCTAGGATCAAGTTGAATGTGATCAGCTGCTATGCCTTGACCGAAGCTGGATGGGAGACCATCCTTGGCGGTGCGCATCAGAGTGCACTGGTGAATCAGAAGACTAGATTTAGATTTCCTTTAAAGATCTGTGAGAGAGCTTGGTGGTTGAAGGTCACTCCAACGGGTAAACCAAAACAAACGGCACGCGGACGCAAGCAAACCAAAGGTTCAGGTCCTGCACCCATGGAGGTAGGCCAAATGAGTTCTTCTTCTTCTTTGAAAGTAGAGAAACGAAGCACTGAGTAGCGGAAAACGACACGAAAACGATACGACCAACGTGGCACGCGGAGGAGCAGCACTGACAGGCGCTGAGAAGCGCTTTCTGTCCGGCAGAAAGCCCGGAGACTAAGCCTCAGAAACCTTGGCAAGCGCTCTGCCTGAAAAAGAAGGGGAAGGGCAGAGAAGAGATGGGCGTGTTGACGAACGCGTCGCATGCTTCGTCGTTTTCGTATTTGCAGTCGCTTGGTTCGTTGTTTTTGTGGCAATCAGGTTTGTGAGGAGACTAGTCCTTTTGACTCTGTTTTTATGCCCAATACGCTGACAGATTCGATTGGTGTGCGTTCTTTTGAATCCTTTCAACATCTGTGTTCTGAGCCTTATTTTGAGGAACGCGAGGACTGTGAGTTCGTTTCCTCTGCAGCCGAGACCCTTTCCAGAGTGATTTGGTTAAACTGCTGATGGTTTTGGAGTAGGGGATTTACAAAGAGTTCTCCACAGAAGGTTTTGGGTTCTGGTGATTCTAAGTTATGAAATGAAGAGGAAACAAATTCAGAAGGAATACAAGGAAGGAACCAACGAATACAGAACTCGTTAGCTTTATTTAGGTTAATTAATTACCCTAAATACAAGTTAAACGTAGTTGTTCAAGGTAATTATAATGCCTTCATGGAACAGCAATGAACGGTTCATCATGTGCACCAGAAATCTGCTGCTTAATCGGCCAAACACACAACACAGACAAGAAAATCCAAGGGCGCCAATCAACTATGAATAGCCCCAATCACATAAAATCCCAACTATGCAGCAATGAAAAGGCACAAAAACATATTGACCGCCGTTGACCTCTGATTGTTAAACTAACCCTTAAAGATTGAAACATAAAAGGATGCGTCAAGCTTTAATATATTTAGGATTGGTTTATTAATGGGTTTGGGGCTTGGGAGGTTCTTTCTTTGGGGTTGGTTTATGAATCGTGGGTCAACATTGGAAGCAATGTCACACATGGTTGAAACTATCCGGAAAACCGTTATTAACAAATGCACAACTCATCCGGCACGGTTGAACTCTTGGTCGCAAACCTGCACAGTAGGTTTCATGCAGAGCAAGGGGATTCTTCCACCAATCCCTAAGGATCCCCAAGCAAAAGGATCACTCTCGGTCGCTGCTTGTCCAGCCACCGTAAAAGGCTAGCTGCACCTTCCCCTCATCTCACTATGCATATCTCAAGAAAAAGAGATGCCAATGTGTTAAATCAAAAGTCGTTGGGCCAGGTTTGTGGAAACCTTGTAGAAATAATGAGTCACTTAGTCAATATCACCTCAAATCTATCACTGAGAAACAACCATTCCGTGAGGATACCTGGAATTCCTCTCCTCCAATCGACACACGGCGACCAGCGACCAGTCCGATGGCACACCACAGTGTAGTTCGCACTTGGGCTGTGGACATTGGGAGGTCGGCTGGCACCTTAGATCAAAAACACACCGAACTTCGAACCATGTCGTATATAGCTTAGAAAATGGTGTGTACATGTGTGTACTGTGTGTGTTACTGTTACTACATGTTACTACGTGTTCTGTTACTACAAGCACACGATACGAGGGACAAACGATGGAAAAGGCCAATAGCGTAGACTGGGGTGGCTTCCATTGAGAAGGACCACTGCCATTTGCAGCAACATTGACATGTTCTGGTCATCCATTCATCCGTTCACTGGTCCAAATCACCAGATCTCAGGGGCAAGACCTGCATCTGAAACGGGGATTTGGACGGGGATGGGCACTTGGATACCTGAGAAGACCTGGTGGTTGAGCATGGCTGCTTAAAAGAGAAACGACCATTCTCTGACCGGAACTTCCCACGACCGGAGCTTGCAACAAAAACAACACCTCTTAGGTGGAGGCCATCGCAAGCAACTAGGTTGGAGGCCATCGCTACGAACGTAACAAGAAGCTACCAGGGTGGAGGCAGTTCCACAAGCCCCGAAAGGAGATGTCCGAGGTCATCCGAGGTCATGGGCTATGCACGGCTCTGCATCAGGTCAAGCAGGCACAGCCGTACATCACACACAACTTGCGATTTGGGGTGAACTGTTCTGCATCTGGTCCCTATTAGGTCCTAAACTGCTTGGACTTCCAATTGTATAATTACCCCTCCCTCCTCCTACAAACATGGAAGTGTTCACCCCCAGTAGAGGAAAAATGGTCATCCAAGTGGCCATTGTCTCCATGATTGTTGGAAGGATGGTAATTCATATTGATATCCTGCAGATTCCTGCAGTAAATTCAATGTCAAGGCCCCTCGCATTGATCGATGGAACTGCATAGACCCGCCATCTGTCCAATAGACCCATCCTCCCCTTGAGGTGCTGAGGTCTGTCGCTTCCACTCGCAGGTCGGATCGGCGCAGTTGGTCTGGCAATCCTGGGAGCAAAACCGTTGGACTGGACATGCACGAAATCGGCGCGAGCAGGCCGACCGCATCTGGTCCGGGGCATCCACGGGGTTCTGTTTTCGGGGGGTTCAGGGCCCTTCTTCCGCCGGAAAGTTTGCCACGAGTTCCCTCGATGTCTCTGCATTTCTGCATTCTCACCTACGGTTCTGGGGCCTGATGTGTCCTTTTTGCTTGTGTGGGCCTTCAGTTTCATTAGAAGGGTTCACGGATGTTCACGGAAGTCTGACCTCTCCTTCACGTTCACCATCTCCCAAATAGATTCTCTATCCGGCACGACCCATGGGATTCGGGTGGTGAATGGACACCCCCCAGCATCTTCAGGGAATATTTAAAAGATATTTGGAAGAAAGGTGGGGCAAGGCACATGTATTGACAGACTATCCTGACAAGCGCTGCCTGACATGTTCATTGACATAAATTTTATATACAAAACTTGTTCTGGAATCAGGCTGGTATGTGTAATGCCTGAGGGGCATAAAGTATGGCATGTGTTCGGACATGTCTTCTGCATGTAACAATATGTGCTATGGCATGCGTTCGGACATGTGCTCTGATACATGATCATCATGATCCGACATTTGTACTGACATGCATTTGTGACATGAGTTCTGTCACCGTGAGTTCAGATATGGTCCACATGCACCACTCTGCAGCCCGCACTGGCAGAACTCTGAAAGGCTGGAGGGGAGTGCAGGAGAAGGAAGTGGTGTGAGGAGGTGAGGAGGAGGAAAAGGAGGAGGTGGAGGAGGTGGTGGTGGTGGACCTAAGCTGAGAAAAAGTCCAGAGACCCTCACCCGACGCGTGGGTTTTCAAAAAAAAAATGCCTTATTGGCGATTCGCGACCCTGGACGTTTTGTGTTTCCACCAAATCATTGGATGGCAAATCAACGAAAACACACCGTGGGACCACCCTGGTAGACTTCGGTCTCCAGGGGCTGCACCGGTCCAACTGTACCGACGGTCCTGTTGGCAGTCAACGTGGCAAACGGGCTCCCCACAGACCTCGGGCAACGACCGGTGAACTCGGGACGGGCGATGTTGACACGAGGAAATGGGTGCGGAGGGTGGAGCTATGGGGAGCCACAGATCTTGCGGAACGATGGCCGGTCTCGCTCAGTGGTCTTTCGTACTGCGATGACCAATCTCGGACCTCGACTCATGACCTGAAGTTTATGGGTTTGCTCAGGTTAGCTCAATGTGTTAGCTAGGTTTACTTGCTTTGATCTTCAGATCCCCTAGGGCCCTAGGGCTCCAGTCGTACCTTTCTGAGGTTCGGTGGGACGTCCAGGGGCCCGGGAGCAGCTTGTTTACTCCACGGCATAAGAAGGAAGGGGCATGTTTCGCTCGACTCATTTTGGGGTGTGTGACATCATGTGGAGAAAAAGGAAACAGAGGCTGGCGGCTCAGAGCGTGGATCAAAGGATGAGGACATGAAAACCTACCTACCAATTACATGTCCATCTTTCCGTGTATGCTGTTCAATCTGGCCAGATGATACGGCCGAAGAATCCTCGGGAAGAAGATGCACACCCCAAAAAAAACCTTGACCCGTGCATCCCGCGAACTTCGACGAAACGCTCGTTGCGGCGGCCCCACCGTTTTGCACTTGCCACAGTTCTTGCCATCCTGGCAGTGCTTCTCAGGGCCTCGTGGCATTGAGCGACCCCATCGGGATTTCCAAAGAGGTCATTGGCAAAGGATTCTCATTCTGTTCTCCCGCATGCCGAGGCCTCTGAGAGATGGCCAAATGTAGTGCAAAAAACTCTGCATGAGACCGGAAGGAATTGCCTATCGTGCTGCTTCTAGAGGGCTGGTTTGACGGAAACCATTGATTTAAGTGACTATTCTAGTTAAGTAGAAGGCTGATTCTGGTGAAACAACGGACCATGGGAGCTCCATGTTTAGGCCACAACAGAGCGCAAGTTTGTTTTTCATCCAAACTATAGATTCCCAGTTCTCTCGTCCCTCGAGTTGAATTCCTATGCTATGGATCCACATACCCTCTGAGAAGGTGATTGCACTCTTATTATGAATCAATGTATACTTGGAGGGTCCAAGTACCCAAAGGGATCCCAAAGGGATCTAAAGGGGTAGAAGTTCTCTTCCAATCTCCCAAGTTCGATCCGAGAGTTCGCTCGAAAAGCCCTTTCGAAGTTCCTTCTCCCGCTCGGGGCCGCGACAAATGACCGCACAGCGCGGAGCTTCGCATTTCTGGCGGAGCGCGAGCGACGGATCCTTTCAAAGGGGATCCTCCCGAAAAGAATGACCAGCCGGTAAAAGGCTGCAGGCTGCAATGTTATTGTGTTGAATTGATTTGTTTGCTTCGATTTTGGGTTTTGCCAGGTTGCCCCTTATTATGAGTGTTTGATATTTGTGTATGTGTGCATGTTGCATGTGTGGATATATCGTTGCACCAAAGCTATGTGGATCCGATGTAATACCACAGCAACGTCCAACCCTTGTCATCTACAGGTGCACGCGACTTGTTCTCTACAGTTGCACGCGCAGGCAAAGGAACCTTGTCTGCATCAAAGTTGGAGGACACTGCATGACATCTTGTACCACGCAAACCTTGCACGTTTCCAGACCTGATGTTTATCACGAGGGGCCACGCGGGGAGACTACAAGCTACCAATGGCTCTTGGAGCTACACACAGACGCCTCCAAGAGCCATTGGGGCAGCTTCGGTGGCCCCTTTGCGTCTGGAGCGTGGCAATCCAAGTTGTCCTAGATTGAACATTGTGAGGTTTTGATAGATGTGGTTTTTCCGCAAGCTAGCCACCTCCCTGTACCCCTCTGTTGGCCCATAGGATTGGATTCTGGGAATGTGCCAAGAGAGCCTGGAGCTTCTAGACTGGTCAAAACACTCAACTCTCAACAAACTCTCGCACAGAAAATTCATCCCCTTGTGAATCACGGGTGAGGTTGGAATTTGCATTGTGTCGTGGGAAACGGGTTTGGGGTCTGGAAAATGCAGTGGCTGCACTTGTACCACTAGACAATTCCGTTCAATTCGGCACCTCCACTGAACTCCTTCGGTGAAATTCACCGCACCTCATATCATGCGCGCACCTCATATCATGTGCGCACCCTTCTGTGTCCGCAAACGGGGGCGCCCCCGGCCCCGCCCCGGCTCCACACCTGCACACACTTCGCCACGTTCACCGGATGGCAGCTCACTTGGCATTGCGGCGGCGCACAGACTGGCTCACAGACCTGAGATCCGTGCCGTGACGCATCGCGCGCGCGCGCGCGTGAGGCATCGCGGCCGCGTGAGGCATCGCCGGGCGGTGGTGAAGCATCGAGCCATTCGGGCGGGGGGAATGGAGGCCCATTCGGTTCGGTCCAAGTGGAGGTGTATAAGTCATTGAAGGTGTTTTTTTCGTACTCTGGGAGAAAAAAACAATGAAAGCAACGCAAAGAAAAGGCATCCTCAAAGGCAAGGAACATCCCAAAGAATCCGAAACTGTCCAACTCCTTGAGAGGAAGCTCAGCTTAGCTTGAGCCTCATGTCCGAAACCACGCAAAGCCCAGGCCTCTTGGCACGTCGCTGTGCCAAGGCATTTCCAAAGACACCTGCAAGGCGCGTCTTGGGCGTGCGACCGATCCTCTGCGACCGATCCTCGTCGTACGGGGATCCAGTACGTCGTCGTAGGTCGCTTTGGGTCCAAAATCGATTCCAAATGATTCCAGTAAGGACAACAAACCAGGTAAAAGCCTGGTTCCCGCCCCTGTCCTGGATAGTGTGTGTGTGAGAAACGGGAGTCCAGTGGGATGCTTCACCGAAACAAAGTTTCCAAATGGCTTCAAGGTGTCGTGACCGGTGGGATTGGTTCAAGGGAGAATCTATCAGAGACTTGAAACCGTGGTTTGAACCCCCCGAGACTGATAAAACATTATTATATTATATAATATTGTATATATATTATATATATATATAACTATATAGGGTTTCCTAGTTTCCTGTACACGTTTCCTTGAACCAAGTCTCATATGAAGACATCTCAAGACCAACTTGGAACATTTTGCAACTGCTTCGCTTCGAACCGGTCGATGCAAGCGGCCGCAAGTCTTCACGCCATGAGCCACGGAATCGGAATTCGACCTCCAACACCACCAAGATTGACACGGTCGGCGCGCGCGCCTTGGGCTACATGCCGTGCTGTTCACGGTGACGTTCGCAGACCTTATAAGTGCGACAGTGGAAGGATGAAGGTCAAGGGATGGAATGGAAGACTTGTGCCAAAAGATCCAAAACCAAATAAATGGTAACCTTGTTTATATACTTCGAATGATTCGCATCTTTGGATACCGCTGGTTTGCATTGCCTCATATATTCACAAAGAACATCAAAGAACCATGTTTCATGCCTCCGTGGCTGCGCTGTGTTCAAGGTTCCTGGAAGACCCCCAACAGACGGGCCCTTCACGCCGAGCGTTGAGAGAAATGGGCGGGGCAAAGAGGTGTGCAGCTTGAATCGAGTGTGTCCCAACCAAAGAAGACCCACATCACTTGAGATGCAAAGAGGGGCTAAGAGGGGCCTAAGGGCCTAAGTGGAGAGGTCGAACACGATTCGGATCCAATCTCTATGTCTGAGCCTCCCGCAGGTTTGGATCCTTCCAAATGCCCTGAGCCAGCAGGAATTGGTCGCTTTCGCTGCCAGGGGAGCAGGAATTGGACGGAGAATTGGAATTCCAAGCGAGCTGAGCCCCGCTTATAGCGGGTCACCGACGTGAAAGTGAAATTTGGCCAAAGCCACCCCGCGATGAAAAGGAATGTCCCAAAAGTTATAGTAAGATCGTATATATAGGCGGAATGGAACTGATAGAAGGGACAGTAGGCGCCTCATGTTGAGACTCGAGACTGTTGTCGGGCCTTTCAACAGTCAATCTGTCCAAACATCCAGGCGACCCACATCCCCTCAATTGGATTCAGAAGAAATTCGGCATCAGGCTGCGAACACCGATTGCTCCTCTTGTCTTTTCCAAAAAATGAACATCTTTTAATCCTTCCGATCATGTGAATGTGGCACATCCTGTGGACGCACACATGTCACATAACACATACTCAAACGGCATATAGGTCCCTTCGATCCGAGTGGGATTTCTTGTCGTCGGCTCAATGCATACGCAATCAGAGTCCGGGTGCACCCTCCTTTGCTGTTTCTTCCCCTAAAGCCACACACGCACAGAAGGAAGCTTGCTTTGGCAGCTACTCTGTTCATCCTACTGTAGTTGAGGAGATCATTGTCAAGGGGAATCGACAAGTCCTGCTCGTTTGCTAGATTCGTTGGATGAATTGCCTGCCCGTCACTTGTGGCTACTGGGAAGTGGCTTCAATGAACAACCTCACAAACAATAGGTTGCGGCGTCCTCCATTTTTGCCACAGATGGTTTGCAGGGAGTAGTTGCATCATATGCAAATGTTCTGCTTCCACACTCATACAACTCCCCTGGATTCTTGGCTATTTGACCAAAGCTCATCTGGGTCAAAGGCCACGTCATGAGTTTGATCCGGGGCTTAACACGGATACCTGGTTCTTAACATGGAGAGTGCACAGCCAACAACAACAACACCAACAACACCAACACCACCACCACCACCACCACCACCACCACCATCACCACCCCCAGCAGCAGCAGCAGCAGCAGCAGCAGCAACAGCAGCAGCAGCAGCAGCAACAGCAACAGCAACAGCAACAGCAACAGCAACAAGAAGAACCAGAAGTCACAATATACTGCATGCATGCCGCACAAAAGAAAACACGGTCTCCAAACACGGCCTCCACCAGGGGCGCTGAACTGGACTCAGCCCAAGGAGAGGGCCGCTCCTGAGTGGATTACACAGACTGGGCCAGTGGTGTCTGACCCTGGGAAGAATAGAGGAATCGGTTCGGTACCCTTTTTTACCGATTGGTTGTACACCTGGAACTCTCGCAAATGCAGTGGCCTCAAAACGAAAAAACATCAACACTTGGGAATGAATCTGATCAAATGAGCGGCAGAGCGACAGCTGATCAGATGTTTGCACTTCCCCTGCCACAATCTGAACCATGGAGTCTTGAGGATCTCTCCCAAGTGATGTGGCTTGAACCGGTGCGAGCCAACGCGCCGGCCTTCGAGCCTTCAACGGGTTTGCTACCAGCCAAGGACACCAGACAGGCATCGCTATCTTGCAAGGCAACAGCTGTTTCTGGAATAAGGACGTCCTGAAGCTCTCCATTCGCTTCTGACTTTACCATACTACCTTTCTTTGAAGGGAATGGGGAAGGGAACCTTGAAGCCGCGAGGCCACCTGAAGTGATGTCCCACTGACTTGGGGATAAGACAGCCATATAGGACCACTACATGCAAATGGCACGGATAGAAAAGCTATACCGGGAGGAGCCTAAATTGATCTTTCTGGCCCAATCCTCTCGCGCTTGAACTGAGGAGAGCCATTTCCATCTGTGACAGGAAGGAAAGCTGCAAAACCGCATCGACGGACCCATCGCTCCAGTCATGGACCACCCTGCGGGCCCCGCACGACCGTTGCTCCGAACCTCCGTTCCACGGTCCGGGGTCGGTTTCGTCCCAGGCCCCCGACGGTCTTCAAGCGATTGCCGGTCGCCCACGCGGTCAACGCCTCCAGAATGGGTGTGTGGGCGGTATTCAAAGAGATCAAAAGATTGAGACCATTGATATCTTTGAAGATGGTAGGGGTCTCTTTGAACACTATTGTATCTCATATCATATCTTTGGTACTCAAAAGATTGAGACCATTTTAAGGGTCCAAACGATTTGTCATGCTACATAGCTTTGAACATGGTACCCAGTCCAGTGCACGGCAAGAAACTGTAGTTTGCCGTAGCGTAGATTGATGGGGTTTTGTGCAAGAAGCCGGAGAATGTGGCAAGGAATGCTATCACAGCTTCAGCCGATTTGTCTTTAGACACGTCTTTGGGGTTTTGTCACATACATGTCTACATAAATCTCTTCTGGAGAGGGGAGCGCTGTGAGCGTGTATTTTTCAGTAAATTTAGCTATTTTTAGACAACAGCAAGGAATATTTTGAATTCATAACTTTTTGAAATTAAACTAGTGAGTTTATGAAACCATATAAATCAGAAAATTTGAACTCATAAAGTTCTGAATTTTATATTGGTATTCTGGTATTATTGGTATTTGGAGGGAGGGCCAACTATTCCTCTACAGGATTGGTATTTGCAAGAAGCACACCTATATGAAAAAGGCATCTGCAGGAAAACACTGAAAAACACACACGCTCACAGCGCTGCATAAACAATCAAAAATATCTATTCTATCCAAAGAACCAATACCATGCACTTCTCCCCAACACCATTCTGCACCACCGAGCTGAGGGTGGAAGACACCGAAGAAATTCTCTGATATGGTCCATCCCAGACCATCCATGTATGGCCTTTCTTGAGCGACAAATTGGGGTAGCTGGAGGGGTCAATGTATGCATCATATATATATATACCCAGACGCTCATGGACCCTCCTAAGTAGGGGCCGGACCCTCCTAAGTAGGGGTCCGGACCCGAACCAATCCCTAGGGTTTTGAGGGACCAAGAGCTGTGAACGGAGCGTCTGGGTATCATACGTCTGGACCTGCGACCCTCCGAGCGCTCTCGGGACATCACCAGAGCCGCTACGGCCCACTTCATTGTCCTCGGGGAGCGAAGTGGCAGAGTATCCGACGTACATCAGGTGCTTGGATGTGGTAATGAGAAGAAAGTGGCTGTAGGAGAAAGTGTACCCCCTTACGATCACTAAATCAATGGCAACACCTCCCAGCTTCAAAAATGGCAACACCTCCACAAGATCCACAAGATCATCCCAGTGCTCCTTTTGGACCGGGGATCACATGAGAAAACTATGCCCATGTGTTGAGACCTAGTGCCCAAAGGAGATCTTGTTGCACTGTGTTGACCTGAATTCGAAAGACTGGGTGAAAACCCTAGGTGGATCTGATCCACTTCCAGGACATGGAGTGTGGTAGACTGGAGATCAAGTGGTCCATGTAGCGTGCACGTATCTGAAAGGACTTGGTGACCCTAAGCTCTCATCTTTCAACCTCTTCAGCAGAAACCGACAGGTCTGGGTCGGTTCACTGGTTCAACCTCTTCAACCAGCAAAAAACGGGTCAACCGAACCTCGGTTCAAACCTTTCGATGTCGCCCACTCCGACCGTCGCGGCCGGTTCGCGACCGTCACGACCCGGTGGACCGACGTGTGCTTTCGCGCCCGGTGAACCGGGTTCGGAGATCTTTCGCATGGTGCGATGGTTCGGGGAACGCGTCGGTGTGATGTCGTCTGCGGTGGACTTGGATGGACTTGGTGTGATTCTACCGAGACGGAGAGCCAGGACTTGGTGGAAAAGGGTGCTTCCCGAGACGGAGAGCCCTCGAGCCCCATGATCAAACAAATCAGCGATCAGCGATCGATCAGGACGTAGATGGTGGCAAACAAGGGCATTTTCGGATCAAACAAGTCCTTGCTTCTCTAGAAGCGCGCCCGCGTCTCTTTCAAAGGACCCATCTGGCCGGTGTCCGACGTGAAGGACTTCAGCCTCTTCAATCCAAAATTCACAATGCCCTTTGTCTTCCTCTAACCTCTGATGAAGATGATGAAGGGGGTCCCAGATGAAGCCTGTCATCCCCAAGACCAGCCCAGGAGCTCTGCTCTGCTCTGCTCCCACTGCTCAAGGAGCTGCTCCGTGACCGTGTGTCACGGTCTGAGCCCAAGCAGCGACCGCGCACCGGGTGCCGTCTTCGGTGCTGCGCTGCGTTTCACCCCCTGGGTCCCCAGAAGTAGTCGTCCCTGACATCCGAAGAAATCGGAGGCGACCCTGTCTTGGATTCACAGGCCCTCAGCGAGCTTGCTCGCCGAGGCTGTACTCACCTCCTGACCTGCTCAGAAAGTATGTGGATTTCTGGGGACGTGTTGTTTTATTGAAGACTGAACATCCAGCTGTGGACATTGACATTCACAAACATCGGGTGTGCATGTGTGGAACTCCCACCGCTGGTTTCTTCATATGTCTGGAAAAAAGGAACCCTAACCTGTTGACCTGTTTCCAATTTGTTTCTGTTGATATCCTTGATCTCAAGTATGTTGCATACTGTACTTTGTGGCCGTCATTGTGTAAGGTTATATATAACTATGGGCACAAACATCTTTGAACATGGATAAGGAACTTGCAGGCACTATCTGACTCAAAGAGTTTGGTTCGTTTGTTCATCTGACTCCTAGAGTTTGGTGGTTCGTTCGTTCATGGAGACAGCAAACGTCGACTCGACTCGACAGCAACGTCGACTCTTTGACATGACGTTTTCGAGCAAAGAACACGTACTGTTTCACATCCACGACAGATGTGCACCATGCATATGTCCACGCCAGGCCAGTGCAAACGTCATCTTTAGATTGAAGCCTAAGTCCTAAGTTGATGCCTTGTGAAGGACAGGCTACCTTACACCAAACTTGATGTGTCTATATATATATAATATTGTTTGTCTCATGAAATGTCCTGGGATACTTGTCCAAACTCCTTGCAGTCTATTCGCTTGAACTTGGAAAGGGAATGACAGGGATATCTAAAACGGCGCAGTCACCCATTTTGCAAGAATCACCCGTCTTCGCTGCACAATTGAAGGCCTTAACAGGACTCAAAGCACTGTGTCTCAATCTCACTTTTGCACTGCTGAACGCCAGAGGCGGTCTT